AAGCAATTAATGATATGGCTGCCTTTGTCTGAGAAGACCTGGTAAATATTGTAAACACACAAGAGCACAAATTCAGAGTAATTATTTGCTATGGGAACAATATCTTCGAATTTCACTGGATGCAGTGAAAAAACCCCCAACTTTTTGCTCTTCCTGTTGTGTAAATGAAATGTTATTGACCTTCATGTGTTCTTTGACATTTTTAATTAAAATGTAAATTATATTATGTCTCTCATTCAAATTTCATTAAATTTTGATCCTAAAAGTAAGGATTTTCTTCCAGATACAACAAACACAAATCCAGACAAAAATCATATCCATTTCAATTATATGAGAAGCTCCTTCAAAAGTTCTCTTCTAATTGTAGAATTACAGTCTCAGAAAAGTCTCAAAATACTAAGATATTTCCTGTATGATTTATGAACATGTGTACAGAGAGTCTTCTTACATCGAAGTTTATAAATTAGTATTTGTCTTTCAGGAGACATAACACTTCTAATAGACTTTCCTTAAAACTCAAAGGTAATGAATAAGATCACAGTCCTCAAAAAATCCTTCAAAGTGCATAATCTTTTGATCAACAAAATATATTCCTCTATATTTAAGAGAAAGTGGTAGAAGGTAATGAATTCAGTTTCTTGAGAGCGAATACCTAATTCTTAACTGTAAGATAAGATGCTAAATTTACAGTGAATGCTGTTTATGTTGATACACCATTTACACTGAAGCTATAAAAAACCTTGCACTAATGATACCTTCCTACAACCCTTGCAAGGGTTGTAGTCTAAGAACTGGATTTTTCTAAGGATCTGACAGTGAATGAAAATTTTTTTATATCATTGACATGTCTCCTGCAGGACATTTCTAAACTCCAAGAAAGATTCTACAAAAATAATACTGGTATTGGCATTTTATAAAAATTAAAAAAGCTAGTTTCCAACACGGGCCAAAGACAACTGAATTCAGATTCCAGGAAAGGATTATGTATGTTATATGGTGTCTCATGTTACCTATATACACTTGGAGAGGTTTACTTAATGTAACATATAGGGGTTTAAAAATTATGCAAAAATTTAAACTGCAATTATATAAATATCTTTAGTTGTGACTATTCAGATCATAGTGTTTTGGGGTGTGCTTAGTGTATTACAAGTAATGTTCAAAACTATCTATGGGATATTTTTGAATGTATGTACCTATAAATTGAGTAACAGAGTAAAGCACAGATCTTTGCAAAACAATGCAAAAGCCAGATTCGAATTTTTAAAGAAAGTCATTTTTTATCTCAGTTAAATAAGCATCCAAAAATCTAAAAATAGCTGAGGTACCTTTCTCCTGCAAAAAGAACTCAGATAACTCTAAATAACAATACTGATTTTCTCAAAAGTTTTCATGTTATTTCTGTAACATCAGAAATGTCAAAGGATTATTTCCAAAGATTTAAAGCAATTAAGAAGGGGGTGTAGGGTGAATATATATAACCTACTTTTGCTCCTAGTGGGATTCTTAAATAAGATTGTCTCTCCTTCTAACCCTAAACACACAATGTAGTGATTAGTCACACTGTAATCATTAAGGGTAGAAAAGGGGGAAATACTGTACCCATAATACAGATAAGGGGAGGAACCAGTGGTCCACCCCATCCAATCTGAAGAAAGGTTATCCTATATGAAATAGAAATACATAGCCTGTTATTAGTTGTGAATCTGTAATGACAGACACTTGATGTTATAACTCAACCATATGAGAAATGTTTCTTTCCTACTAATGAAGTTTGGCGCATTCTTGAAAATGCCTCATTATCGCTTTCCTGGTAAGGGAATCTAAGGAATAGCCATTGAATTTTAGAGGATATTTAAGACATCAGATACTCTAATTTAGTTTTACAAGTTATGAAATTGGACTGGAAATTTGAAATACAGTAAATGTTTAAAGCCATCAGCCAGAAATATGCATAAGGCATGCAAAACTGAAAGTGCAAGTGGATTTCAGATTGTTTGCTGCCTTCTACTATTTCTCTAATAAATAAATCAAGCACGGCATGACATGCTTTATTTTGTGAAATTAGACACAAATGCATGCTTTATTGTCACTTAATTCTCTAACTCAGCAAAGCAATGTCTACTCAGTATTCTACATTTACAAGTAGCATACCAATTCAGGACTAGCGCAAAAGCATTATATTGCAAGTACTGAAAAGCTAAACAAAAAGCAATGGGTATATTCAAATCTCAGTTTGCAGATACTTCTGCTCAGTATGTACACTAATTGAGATGAGAATATAGACCCTAAGACAGAAATTTAAATTAAATTAAAGCAATTGTTTACTTTGCCTTCCAGCAACTGTGTGGAGTTGGTTTCAGATTCACTATAAAAAGTATTAAAATTTCTCAGAATTCAGTATACTAGCATATTATAAGTGCCTTTAATATGGCAAAACTCACTTCTGTGCTCAAAGCAAGCGTAGGCTATGGACCACTTGTACCCTATTTTGGTGATTCATATATCTTATATTCACTTTAGAAAGAGAATTTATCCCATTTATGAAACAGTGTAATTACGAAATTAAGTTCTAACTACAGAGTACAACTGTAGACTTTTAAGAATATCACTTAAAAAGTTAAGTATGTTTCATATTCAGGGATAACAGAGTAGTTATTAGTATTTACTGACTATGTAAAATGGCATATTCCAATTCACCAGAATGGTAAACTTATTTAAGAAAAAGATTGATTTAAAGTAGCTGAGAACTTAGCTGATTATTTTGCAAAATGATGCAAAGCTTTTTACATACAGAGACTTCTGTGGAATACATATGATCTCTTATATTTTCAAGGCAAAATTTGTACAGTTTTGAACAAGGGGGTAATCATTAAAATTACAAATACATGCCAAATAAAAACTCAGCTTGTTTTGTCACAGCTCAGTATAAGTATAAGCATTATAAGAAAACAATGAGGGTTGATTTATTTTTACTTTCTGTTGGCAGATAAAACAATCTGGTTTTATGGAGTTTTATGAGATGAACTCAGTTTCTGAGAAGACTGTAATTTGACTATAGTCTTATCATGAGCTGGTCAATTATTTGTTATTTGAATCTTTTTACTGTTCGTGAGTCATTCATAAAGCAATGCTACTATCTGTCAGTGAGCCGTTGTGAATACTTGCCAAGTTCTTTGGAAAAAACATTTTCAGAAGTACATGTAACTAATAGTAAAGGCCTGTACAGTTGGCCAGTCAAATTTGCTAAGTGACTGGAATCAGGTACTTCATTGATTATCATTAATATTGGAGGACAGAGCTGAAACCTTTTTTGCTTTTCCAGGCTTGTCTGTGATTCCTACACAGTCAGTTGCTCATGAGTTATTCATGTTATGTATCAAATTCTATCATATGATCGGGCTTCTGGCATAGTTTCATAGTTATTCACTGAGAAATAAGGGAAAGCAGTAAATAGATTTCAAATAACAGGTACTTTTCTGTAAGCATGAATATCCCAAATCTTTTAAATGGAAAATTTACTAAGGCACTCATGTAAGGATACAGAAAAATGGAATAAAACATTTGGCAATCAATTTTGACATTATCTTTCTAGAAATTATCTGTTTTTTCCAATGTCACCTAAAATGCTGCATTTCTTGTCCCTGTGCAACTTCTAGACTGGTCTCCCAGTCCTCCTGCAGCTGACGAGAACATTATTTAAAAAGTAAAGCTGACAGCAATTTCCCAATGTTTCTCTGCACAAAACCACATTTATCTGAATGTTCATGAACAGTAAGTACAAAGAAAGACAAAGAGAAAATGGCTAAATCAAATAGTCGTTCCAAACTTAAATGAAAATTCGTACATTCTGTAGTACTTGACCAGCTCTTACCCTGCTGAATATAAATTCATGAATTTCAAATGAAGAGAAAACTGTTAAGTCAGTTTGCTATGTGAAATTGAAATTTATTAATCTAGTAAGCATTGGTTAGCAATATTTTTTTCTGATGCATTCTGAAGTAGAGATATGTAGCCTGATGAATACAATTTCAGGAACAGAATTCTAAGCCTCAATTTGACTTGATTAAGCTTTGATTTGTATCTAAAGGTTGTTCAGATAGTATATTCCAGGCTATTCCACTGGTTTGTAATTGACTTGAAATTCATTAGCACATTGTTTCCTCTTATGTTTCCATGAAGTAGCAAAAAGCATTCTCTTAAAACATATTTTAATGACATGCATATAGAGTTAGTTTGTATTCAGTGGCTTTAAGGAACAGAAGGTATAAACAAAGGAAAAAATAAGTTAAAATGCTGTCTTGAGTGAGATGAATAGTAAGCAGGGCCTCTAAGTTACTCAGAATAAGTAAGAAATAACCTTATATACATTGTATTGAATATTGACTAGAGATTTGTTGAAATAAGAAAAGCATTTACTTTACAAAAAGAATAATTTCATAAAGAAATCAAATAACTTGATTTGTTTTTAAAGTCAGCCAAACTCAGCATTAGATTTAAACCACTAGCGGGTATGAATATGTCTCTAGTACCATCTAGTAATATTCAGTGGAGTTAGACCAAAGGTGGTTTATCAAATAAGAAGAAAAATGAAGGATTTCAACTGGTAACAGAAAATATCTTTATTAACTAATGTTAAATTAGATTCCTGTATAAATATTGTGATATGTTTATCAGTAAAAAATTAATAAAATCTTGTTACATCTTATTCATTATTAAGCATCTGTTAAGAGAGTTCATAGTTGGTTATTTCAAAGCCTTATATGGAAAACTCCTGAGATTGGCTAGAAAGTAAAGTAACCTTAATGAATGTAATTTCTATGTGATACTGCATATGGGTTTAGGTGAATTGATGAAGCTTTTTGCTTATCTGTTAGTAAAAGATATGCAATAGATAAAAAGATAGTGCAGCCTTTCTGCATGGACTTGTCATTCCTTATTCTGCATGCATGGATTCTTTCTATGCATGCATAGTTTCAGATTCTTTCATGTTGTCTTACCCTCATGCCTTCAAATCGTGACAAAGCTCTTAGAGGTCTCAAAGCTCTTAGTGTCCTAAGGGACTTAATGGCACCAAGTTCAGAGTAACCCAATGCATTTGCTGTTAAGCTAACCAAAGAGACCTATATGAAAACAGGAAAGTAAGAATTATTATATCGTACATACTAATTTACATACCATAGATGTGAGATATAAACTTCTTTAGAAGAATCTAATTTTGGACCACTTTCTTCAGGAATAGGAAATCTTTTAAATAAAAAAAAAGTAGTAACATGAAAGAAGAGTAGCATAGGTGAATAAACAAACAAAAATCTCGCAAGGTAACAATATCTGGAAACATTAATACTTCTGAATTTCGTATTTTGCTAGTGATTTGAGGGCATTTAAAACTACAAAAAACAAATTAAATTAATCTCTCCTTTTTACCAATTTAGGTATTGCTCTCACTTTTCTTTGTTTTACAATGCTGTTGGGATCAGTAATTATAGCTGATAATGCCCATTTGATTGCCCGCAACTGAAAGGGAAATGATTGAAGCCTGTTTTGAATTAACAGATGGGTCACAGAGCAACATTGCTCATCTGGAAATTGGTAGAAAGGATTATTTTTTTCTATATTCAGTTACACTGACTAATTCTTTTGCCCGACTACTGAATTTATATGCTCTACAGGTTGACATTAACCTGGATTATGCTGTTTCTTAAAGACCTTATAAGAACAGTTCCATAGGCAGCAGGTATAATAAATTCTCATATCTACAGGCCTTTATGTATTCTGTGTCCCTACATTACCTCAGTGAGAAATACCATATTCTCTACATTTATTATGGCTCCTGTCCAAAATTCAGTCATATACTGAAATTTGTGGACATGATGTTAATTTTCTTGCCAGAGGAGTTCTAATCCAGATGAGTGTCTGATGTCTGGTGGACCAGACACCTATCTAAATGCTGCATTCAACTTAGACCACAGCAGAGGGGAAAGCGGGTCTGAAGGTGGGAATGAGCTGTCGGGGCAGAACAGAGGACAGCGCTACCTCTTTCAACAACAGTGCTGGGATAAACCCTTTAAGTGCTTGCAGGGCTGCCATGTGAGGTTCTTTTGTTAGCAGGAGAACATCTGGTCTTTCTTAACTCTGTGGTATGGGAAAGCACTGTTTTAAGTGTAAAGTGAAAGACAGAGAAATATGGAATTTTTCCATCTACCTTACTTTTTAAATTGAAAAGTAAACTAGAGCAAGTAATTAAAAAAATAAGATAAATATAAAAGTAACACCTAGGAAATATACTACATACATCAACAATCAGGAAGTCCAGCCAGCACCAGGCATTAGTAAAGTATGTTTGATAGCCATAGGCCACCCACTTCAGCAGCATTTCCAGAATGAAGATGTAAGTGAAGACCTTGTCAGCATATTCCAGCATGGTCTTGATAGTTTTGCGCTGTTCAATATATATGTCTTCAAAAGCCTACGGATAAATGCATTCAAAGACATTTGTTGTTCCCTTTTGTTACTGCATATACTTCATGTTGTAACAAAAAAAAAGGGAATTAAAAAAGGAAACAAACTTTCTTCAAGAAAAGGCATGGGAGTGTCACTTCTATCGGATGTCTCCTTTTCTGCTAACACGGTATATACCTAGTTTTCCCCTATGGAACTATATTTTCCAGCTCACAGGAGGGAGAAGCAGATATTACACAGCAACCACTTCACTGGTCAGAGAGTTTTATTTATTTGTTTATTGCTGATGGTGAATTATTCTTCTGAGATCATTTTCAGCGCTCACAAAGAGCACTGATTCTGCAGAGTGGTGTGCCTGAACTGAATTCTACTGACATCATTTGGTTTGTATGTAGGTAGATCCATTTTCAGAATCCAGAGCCATAGCTGTAAAGTTTTCAGGACAATGACAATACAATTGATCTTGTGTTTTTAAGTCCTGTTGCTTTTTGAAAATTTTAAGTAATAAATCATAAAACAAGTTCTTCCTTTCTTGAAATAAGTATTTATTTATCTAAATCAAATACACACTTTACTGTATTATTCACATTTTATGAGATGCATAAAATTTCTGAGATCCTTGCAATGTTATTTACACTTTTTGCATGTTTTCATTTTTAGACATTTGAAAAAAGTATAGCTTCTGCTTTTCAGAAATTCTTCCTGTCCTCCAAGAAATTTTCCCTTTAATTGCTTTTAAATTTTAATTATGCTATTATTTCTTGCTGAGAACACTTGATTTTATTGGATTGAAAGAACTGGAATGATCTGCTAGCTTGCAAAGCTTTGGATATCTATTGATACTAACATTCATTTTTAGTCAGCCTGCTTTTGAATCACTTCACATCTGTCAGTTCAAATGATTAGTGTTTGTCTATCAATCATTGAATTAACATCTGTGTATCAGTAATTTTGGATACTTAGATCAGGCACTATGGTACCTGACACTCATATGTAATCACTAACAACATTAGCTCACAAAACTGGGAAGAGCTAACACATATCATTTCCTCCTTATAGGTGGGAGCATGCCAGAGGCTAAGCTAGCAATGCTCTTGGCAGCTCGAAGTGTGTCTGCTCCCTGCCTGATGCCCCCGGGGGGGGGTTTGCAGGCAGCCTGCAGTGTGCCTGTGCCTGCCAGATTTCCTGGCTGTAAGGGCAGTGAGACTCGTCTGGAGCGTGGCCTTGGGGTGAACGTTGGGATACAGTACTGACAGGTCCAAAGAGGCCTTTTCACTATCACAAAGGCAAATGAAGGCAGAACAGAATCTCGCATCTCCAGAGGCTTGGGCTAATCCCTGGTCTCTGAAGCGTTTTCACAAAATAAATGTTCTGTGGATGACACACACCTTTTAGTTTCACAAGCATGAGATGCTAACACTGTTGGATCTCATCTCAAACTTCCTCTAAATACAATGGAAATTCACCTTTATCAGATCTCTTGCCAGTTTTCTCCACTTGGTAGGAGTCTTTTGTTATTTCGAGCATTTTAAATCATAGGGAAGGTATCACAGGATGTTGAGTAAAAGCTGCTTATTTGATGGTTATGTTATTATTAGATCAAACAAAAGCAGAATGATTCTTAAAGATTTAACCAAAACTGATGATAGGTATCATCATAAACTCCTAACCATTAATGGTATTTTAAAGTGTTGGGAGTGGTCTAAAGAGTTTATAATACAATTTTGCAACACAATTTTGTTTTATGATATAGGAACTTCAGTAATTTACCAAAGGGTAATTGCATCTACCGGAGCAGATGCTAGATATACTCTACATTATCTCAAGGCAAGTAGTTTGCCTAAGAAACTTCAGCTCAGTATGTATCCAGGCTCACCTTTATTTAAGAATTCCTCTCCAATTTCTTTATTCTTTGTCATTATTTGTGTTTCTGAAATAAAGTATTATTGGTATGTTTTGTTTCTTTTATTATTAGAGATTTATATTATGGTTGGCTTCTTTTTATTCTGCCCTCACATACTTGTTAACCTTAAAGCAAATTCATGTTTTTACAGATATCCCTTTAGTCTACATGAGTATAAGTCAGTAGAAGATGACTTAAAAGCATAAATAATAAATTCTTATTCTTAGAAGTGAATAGTTACAAACACACAGTCTTAATCTTTCTTGCTGTTCTAGCACGTAGCATTTATAAGACTGTATAAGCCAGCTCTGGATCTTGCAAGGTATTGTGAGCTGTTTATGCCATTACAGTTACTTCCAAACTCTTCTTTTTTCATCAGTTACGGTTCCTTTCCCTGAGTTATATCAGTAAACAGCACTAAAACTAGAGAGCAAACTCAAATAAGAAAGTTAAATATGTTCTCTTCTTCACATGTTGTCCCTCTCCCTGTTTCAGGTGTATCACTACTGCTTTCAGCAAAGGAGTTAAGCTCTCTCTAATCAATTATGTCTGGTTTTTTTTCCGACACATTGTTGAGAAGGGACTTTTTCCACCATTCTTTCAAAGGCCTGACTAAAATTTAGTCCTGTCATTTGAATTGTGTGTTCTTTCTGGTGGAGAAAACTAAGTTAAAACAATGTTTGAAGAGCCAACTTTTAATGAGTTTCTTGACAACATTGTGACACTCTGTTCATGTTTTACTTACCAGAGCTCCACTACTGAGGAGAATCATAAAGACAATGAAAGTCTCAAACCAGTTGTGTTCGACAATCTTGAAGCAGGTTTTTCTAAGGTTCCACCACTGCTTTCCTCTCCCTTCTTCTATACTTACTTGACAGCACTTGAACCTTCGTACACAGCCTTTAAAACAGTGTATGTATTGAGTGGGGGGAGAAAAAAAGATATTTTGTTGAATTGCATTAATTTTGGTTATGCATTCTGTTAGTGATACAATGCTACCTTTCCAGAAGCTGTGCTATTTAGTAAAAACCCAACAGATTTTCACCTAGATGACCTTCTTTTTCTCCAAAGCAAGAAAAAATTTAACACTAGGACAACTGGAATTTACAATTAAATGAACAAGTGAGAAAAAGTATTTCTCAGTTATCCAGAACTAAGTGCTCAGTACAGTGCACACAAAAAGATAAAAGTCCATGGAACATGAAGCCAAATTACAAAATACAAAGCCTGAGTAAAAATATACAAACTCATCCAAATGCATAGTAGGTTTATATAGTAAGATATGGGCAAGTGTTATTAAATTATACTTTCTTTTGTTTAGGATACTAAATTCAGACAATATGTTCTATTTATTGTATGAAAAAATTCTAAGCCTCCTGAGTTCTGAGCTTTTCAGTACAAGCTAACTTCTCTAACTTGTGCCCTTAATTTATTTAAGCTTTTATGATTTAGCTGCTGACTTGATTTTGTTTCTTTTTTCATTTAGGTAGAAAAATACAAGTAATCAGCAGTGGTATTTTCTTTGCCAAATCCAAGTCTGTTACAGTACTACTTCTTACTAGTTCAGTGTAAATTTCTGAAGAAATGTCTGTTATCATGTCCAGAAATAACCCAACCCCAGCACTGACAGTAGCATTCATTTTCCAAACTCTAAATCTAACTTTTGCTTACAGATACCAAAAATGGCATTTGTATCCTTACCTTACTGTTTTAAACCTATTCCTTTCCCCACCTCCTTTACATGCACACATCCATAAGGCTTCTCACAAGGAAATGCCTTTGCAAATAAGGTTTATGACCAGTTTCTTGTTTTATTGAGTTGTGTAAAAGGGCCAATAGAATGGAGAATGAAAGATGAATGAGTCCACCAGGTGAGACTGTTCTTGCCCTAGGTGGCACACAAAGGCTCTTCCTTCTCTTTTTGCCAATTTGTAGAAGGTTCATTTAACATTTTGGACAAAACCATCCAGGTGCAGTTTTTGTTCACCACTCAACAGCTCTTTCAGTAATGTATACTTTATACAGCACTTTGATAGGTATCTATGAAGAGTGGTATGAAAATAGTGTGTTATTTTATTATCTAGGAGACTGTAACTAAACTCAGTACAGCAGTTCATACCAAAATAAAGCTTTCAGTAATATATTTTTCTTATTTTAAAAATAATGATAAATTTCTGATAAAATGTTTTCTTAATTGTTTATCTGATACATAGTATATTTGTGGCATCAGTATCCATATGGTAAATGATGGTCTAAAAGTACTACCGCTAATAATCATAGTTTAAACATTAACAAAAGCATAATTCAATACATAAATATTAATACTTAGTTTAAATAGATAATTATTCCATATCTCATGACTCCATATCTCATGAAGTATTATTAGTATTTTTGTTCCAAACACCTTCTGTAAAGCAGGCCTCTGGCTCCTGGGCTTCTTCAGGTTCAGCTTCTGGTTGCTCTTCTGCAGGAAGTCCAATATCAACTGTGCTACCTTCGGATGAACTAGACAAATTTAACTTCTGTAAAGGAAAAAAAAAAAAAGCATCACAAATGCACAGTAAATATTTTTAAGGCAAATATTAGTTGTTTTCAGAATAAGTAAATAATTCTGCCATGTTTTTGAATGTTCTAGTTTTCAACATAAGTAAATTGCTCATAAACATATGTGAAATTTGTGCAATCTTTGGGTTTCCATTGTATGGATCAATAACTAGAGAGTGTATCAATCAGTGATAGATAAGGCTTTAAACAAAATTATTTTTTAAACTGAAAAATACGAATGATAATGCTAAGCCTGCAAAGATTTATGACCACACTAGCCATAAGCGGCAATGATCTCTTGACCTACATAGAAATAATGAAACTTAAATATATATGCAGGAATCTCTAGCGTCTACTGAAAAGCAGGTAAAAGCCTAAATATAACTATATAAATGAGGTGCGAGCTCAGAGGAATGAGGGAAAAAAGCACTGATCAGCAGAGAAGGCTATACTTTAGAGGTCAGCAAGTCCAGATTAAAATTGCTGAAAGTCTAGCTCAGAGTGAAGTAGAAGCTGCATACAATAAGGCTTGATATTGAAGACAAAAAAAATCCCCAAACCCTAACAACAAAACTCTTACTAAAGCAGTAGCTGGTTCATTTTTCAGTAACAAGTCTGGGACTCATTGACATTGAGTTGCATAGCGCTTAATAAAATTTGTAGTACTTTAAGTAGCCAGTTCTTAGTTAATTTCATCTTGTGGTGACTATAGAGATTGGAAGAACCATGTTTCAGCTTTATCAGGAAAATGGGTTGATGTATCCAGTTTCGGGCTCTGTCATTATTTGTCACAAGAACCAATTTATAGAGGTTTTTTTTTCCAAATTACATTACAGAGTTGGCTCTCTGATGTTTTTACAAAAATATTGTATACTTCTAGTAATCCAATTTTCACAAATCATCCTTTGCAGTATGATTTACCACTTTTCAAAATAATTTTGAAAATACTTTTCAAAACTTTTCCAAAGCTTTTTCATTTTTGGAAAAAAACCTTTTAATTCTATTTCTCTATTTTCTTCTAAGAAGCAGATTTTCTGTAATATTACTGTCAGCTACTATTTGCACACTAAAATTAAGCTCTTTGAAATTAACAGTGTAATTTATAATTTTAAAGATGATTAATTTGTTACTTTGCTAAGGGAGAAAAGAGTACTCAGCTGAAAAACGAAACCAAACAAACCAAGCAAACAAACAACCCCCCCAATGAAACCCCCTGCTTTTAGAGCTGACCGAATCAGCAAAAAAGGATCCTGGCCAGCACTGTAAAACTCCAGGAATGGTGCTGAAAAACTCAGTATGGTCTGAAGCCAGCTGGAACTCGCTTGTTTCTACTCGCTTGTTTCTTCTTGTTACTTCTACTGAGAAGTAGAGAATCCATACAGTCTTGTCTAAGTGGGCTCTCATCAAAAACTCAGCTAATTCAAAGGCTCTGCTGTTCTAGTGTTTATAATTTTCTTTTCTACAGTCCCATCATACTAACAGTCAATATAAAGTATGGAGTTGGACTCAAATCCAAAACAGAACTGCTGGATGGATTTTCCATGGAAAACTACACAATAACAGAGCTGCTCTTTCATAAGCTTCTGCAGGAAGTCAGAAATGTCGTAGTACTTTCTCAATGGGACAAAAGGATACCCTGGTCCTACAGGTAGCAACACCTTTACAGAAAGCTTTCCTAAACCAAATCTGTTCCCCCTTGGTCAGTCATAAACGAGCTTGAGTCACTCCATTTGCCTGCCTGCTCTATGATGGGTTAGAAGACGGACTGGACTGGCCAGCATTAAGGTGGTTGTAGGGAGAGCAGATGACCAGTTACTGATTTTCTCCAATGGATCTTCATTTAAGTGTTGTTTTATTTAGAAATTCTTCATGCTGGGCTAAGTTCATCATGTGGTCAAATACATTCTTGTAACCTTTATTGTGGCAGCATTCAGAAGCTTGAGTCAAAGCCAAATTATAAGACATTTTGGCTAATATTTAACAGGAAAAGAAATATGAATGTTTCAGGTATTAATTGGGAAACAGGAACAACATTGTCTCTGAAATAGGTTGCCATGGGGAGAGGCTGTTTTGTGCAGGTCTCCTTTCTCGGGGGAGGATCCAAAGATTGCACTTAGTTTAACATGGGGTTTTTGTTGAGAACACTAGAGGGCTTATGCACACTGAAGTGAGGGCAGTACAGAATTCAGCTAGCCTAAAATTAGGTGTCTGAAGTACTGTTAGCAATACAACAGTGGCGGGGGAAGATGAGCTATCCCACAAAGAAACTGGATTGCTACAGGCATGGAAACTAGCTAGTTTAAGGTTGAGGGTTCCTCAAGTCAGAAAATTAATTTTGTTAAGTGTCTGAAAAGATAATTTTCTGATTTGACTAAAATGTCAACAAACTAAGTCACTGAGGATGTAGTTGTTTTGCAAATTATGTTATCAAATCAATTTAAACAATTTTGTTAAAATAGGCACAGGCAAAAAATAATGTAAAGGAACAGTTATAGCCTTAATATGTTTTTTTTTTAAATACAGTTCTCAACAAAGGCTTTGTATATATAGTCTGCTTTGGCATTCCCTTAGCAACATGAGATATTTTCATCTGTTGATACTATTTTTCAGTTTTAACAACTAAGTGAATTTGAAGTATATGGAAGAGTCTATGGTTAAAACTTCTTTTTATGGCAATCTAGGTCTAGAAGAGCTGACAATTTTAAAATCCAAAAGAATTCCAGTGTCTAAAGGAAATACATAAACTACCTCTATATTTTCTGGTTTATACCTGCTCACAAAAAAATCCTGTAGAGGGCGATTTTTTGAGTGGCAAAGAGATGTGTGACACTTCTCAGGGGATCCTTGTTACAGGAGGCAAAAAAAAGGTTCTGGTGGAATAAGGCTGTAGCTAAGGCACTGCCCTGCTCTGCCAGTTGTTGCAACTACCATATGGACAATAAACAGTTCTTATGGATTAGTTTGGTCTCCCATTGCCTGGCCTCTTATCTCCTCTTGGAGACAGTAATTTTTTAACCTTTTCTCACACTTTTGTTCATCAAGAATTAAACCCTCCTTTATACACTCTTTTATGCCCATGTACAAAGAAGTGTCAAAATAAATGATCAAGAACTGAATACACTGGCTTATGCTGAAAAAAAGAAAAAATACTCAAAAGATCAGAGAGAAATGCACAAAATATCTAAATACCTCTTTGCTTTCTTCCAGGTCTGATTCACTACTAAATTCCTCTGTGTTTAGATTTTCAAAGTCAGATTCACCCACAGCAATGGGCACTGTCACGGTGAGGCTTGGGTTGTTTATGAATGACATGTAATCACTTTCGTCAATTATGTATTTTTCCACACTGCTACCTGTGCCTATGCCACTAGTTGTTCCATTCACATCTTTAATATAGTCATGATCCTTGCTTAGTTCCACAGTTGTATGGTTAGAAATACAGCTATTTTTGTTGTTCAAATCTTCAAGTGGTTTGATTTCGTCTAAAGCTTTTTGTTTTTTAACAAAAGCTTTTTGGATGAATTCGCGTGCTTTTCTTTTCACGTAATCTATGCCCTTCTGCATTCTTGCTACAGCAATTTGGAGATTATTCATTTCATTGTCATCATCTGTCACAGCAAGGTTGTCTGCACTAAATGAGCTCAAGAGCAAGGCCAAAAATAGGTTCAGGACCTGCAGAAAGATTAAAAAAGGACATTCTAGACTTTATCCCAACAAAGAACATTTCTTTTATTAAAAATTGTCATATTAGTGACATTGAAGACTGAAATCCCAATAATTCACCATAACCAAAGAAAAGCACCCTCAAAACTTTTTCTCTGCTCCATACAAACCTGAGCTTTTTAAATTTTGCTTAGGTGCTGTTCACTATTCAAAAATATTCCTACAACTGACTAATATCTGTAAATGTGTTTTTAAATCCCCACAGTATATAAATATTTTGGGACAAAATCTTATAATCTAAAAATGGAGATAACAGATTTGCTATTCAGCATCATTTAAAAGTTTAACTTATCCCATCACACAGCAGAAATTATATTATTTAGGTGACTAATCATATGGGATAAATAATAAAAAAATCCACAGCAAATGGTTTATAAAGAGCACATAAACTAAAATTATCTGAAGCACAAAATATTTACAAAGAGCCAAAAGACAAATTAGGAATGTGACTAAGTGCTCACTCTAACATTCTTAAGATTTTGATATTGCAGAATACTTTGTTCTCAATCCAAAAAAGCTCTTAAGCTTAACTTTAAGCATCGCTTGAAACCACCTGCGTAAGTGCTTTGTTGAAGCAGAGCCAGAGCACTTAGTTGCTTCAGGATTGAGCCCACTCTATTGCCAAATAATTTTTTGCTAATGCTTTGATTACATACCACTAGATTTCCAATCACCATGACCATCATGAAGACAGTAAGGCACATGGCTTGGCCAGCAACCTCCATGCAGTCCCACATCGTTTCTATCCATTCTCCACACAACACTCGAAATACGATCAAAAAAGAGTGAAAGAAATCTTGCATGTGCCAGCGTGGAAGTACACAGTCGCTTGCGATTTTGCAGACACATTCCTTGTAGTTTTTCCCAAAAAGCTGCATCCCAACCACAGCGAAAATGAACACAATGATGGCCAGCACCAGGGTCAGATTGCCCAGAGCTCCCACTGAGTTGCCAATAATTTTTATCAGCATATTTAGAGTTGGCCAAGATTTTGCCAATTTGAAAACTCGTAACTGGAAGAAAAGAAAAATATTGTTAGGACAACTAGCAAGAAAGACACCAAGATATTTTAAAGTTTATTTGTGGAAGGATATTACTGCAAAATATGCACTGAGTATGACTGTTCAGAGGGTATCCTCTTGTCTAAAAGCATGAAGATGGAAGGTTCAGTCAAAAAAGTTTTGTGAAGTTAGAGCTTGATATCCTCAAAGCATAATTTTTACTGAAGGCCAAAGAAGCTAGTGGTCATATTAGATGGAATTTCAAATCTAGGGTTGATCTGTTAAAGTCACCTGGGCTACTTCTGTACTGGTATTTGTAGAGCAGATCTATTCCTGTGATGCCAATCAGAGCACAATACACCTAGTGAGTTGATTTGTTGCTGCATAGCAGGATGTTTAAAGTGTGTATATACAATAAATACATTGGAAATAGGCCCAGAGCACCCATTGCTATCTATTTGTCTGGATCTCTATCAAGTCCCATTGAAGACAGTAAGGTACCACAAGTAACAAGGATTTGTACTAAAGAGACATCAGAATCAGTATCCTGTCAAACATCAAGCAAATTTTTAAGGCAAAAAATATTATTTTAATGAAGTCCCATTGAAAAATCAGTGCAATTGTATTTACCAATCTGAATGATCGAAGAACTGAGAGTCCTTCCACATCTGCAAGACCAAGCTCAACCAAGCTAAGGGTTACAATAAAGCCATCAAAAATATTCCAGCCTTCCTGGAAATAATAGTAAGGATCCATTGCAATTATCTTGAGAAACATTTCTGCTGTGAAGATTCCAGTGAAGACCTGAATTCAAAATGCAGTTTGTTATTTCATTGTGAAATACAATATTACAGATTTAGCTGTTGTCTAGGTTTTTAATTCAAGTTACATATCTGCAATGTCTTATCCAAAACTGATACTTAAAAATAGTTCAGTGTACTGTAGTGATTTATTATGCCCACCTTCCCTTAACAAGTGCCGTACAAATCAAGTAATTTTTTCAATTAATTAAATTTTATACCAAACAAATTACATAAACTTCTGTTTTATAACATTTATAATCCAATTTCAACTCTATCAGGATATGGACTTTCTCATGTACTGTACAAACAATATCCCAAATTTGATTTTCACAACATAAAACAGAATGCTTTCCAAGAAATTACATGGTATAACATCTTTCTTGGTATACTAATTACATTATACAGCAGCATGAATGAGGCCAAATCTAAGACTCCAGAGGGAGAGCTCCTTTGCTGGTATAACCTGCCATAATCCCATTCAGTTCAACAGAGATACGATTATTTATAGCAGATGGGGATCTACTGAGATACAACAATTTGCTGAAGCTGAGGAACTTCTACCTGGGTGCTGCCAGTAAGTTTTAGTGAAGTCGATTGGCTCAATCACTTTAATGTCAGGAATGAAAGAGCATTTAAGAATGCATTTTGAACATGATCATGGGATGTTATGCTGAATGAAATAGGAATCATAGTTAGGAGCCACCAAGGTAGTGACCCTGAGTAGCTTTGAGAAGTCTTAGAAGAGTTTCCTGTATGATACGAATGTACTAAAGCTACCATTAAAGGCTGTCTGAGCCCTGGTCTGAAATACTTTCTTTTTTGGTTTTGATAACCCATTTTCAAGCAAGCTGAACAGAAAATGGGACAGCTAAAGAGAATAATATAACTGGGATAATCAGGAGACGGACAAGAAGAGTCTGACTTGCTCTGCCTAGGAACACCAATGCTCAAGATAGATTTTATTACAGACTTTAAATACAATCCAGATATAAACACTGGAGAGGGAAAGGTTACTATTTTTTAAGCTACAGGATTAGAACAACTGAGGAAGAGGTAGGAATGAATAAGTACAGTTTGAAACACTGACTTGTTTCCTAATGATCGGGATGATGAGGTTCTCAAGGAGCTTTAAAGTGGAACTACTAGAGCAGGCGAACCCTGAGAGCCTCTGTATTGCAGAAGGGATTTATGTCAGGGAGCCTAAGACTGGAAGAGCATGGTGCTTATAGCCAGGTTCTCTCACACTCCCTTTGTAGTCTGATGCACATCAAGTTTTATATGGCATTTTCTTGGTTGGAAAACAAACCGATAAAATGCTACAATGCAAGATTTTACATTTTACTAGGAATCTCAGATTCATAGTTTCTCTTAAGTATATGAAAACCAGCAATGCATTTATGTATTAATTCTCCCTTTTAAATCCTGTGGTTATTTACATGATCTGAGATATTTTTTCCTCATTACAAAACAAGGATTATTAAAAATCCCATTATAAGAAATCAATTCTTAAAATAAGAGACAAAGTAGGACTGCAGCTGCAGATACTTCTAAGTGATCAAACCTGTCAGTTCAAAAGCATCAGAACTCCAAAAAATTAACTCCTGAATTCTTTAATAATTTATCTTTTTGAAGTAGAAGGGAGAAAATATAGTTGACAACACAAGGAAAAGATATCTTACTAATTATCTGATGATAAAAAAATATAAAAACTATAAGAGGAAAAAACACTGCAGGATATTTTTCTTAGTTTTACATAAGTATATAAAGAAAATAATCCACATATCCACATAAAGAGTCTTTTACAGAAGAAAGTTCTAGAAATGCTTTTAAATGGCTCTTTTAGGTATTGTAAACCTGTGCTCAGGAAACAGAGCAATTAAAAACACATTCATAATTTAAAGATATGTATTGTATTGATTGAAAAAGTAACACTACGCTTATTTGCATAGTGTCTTTTTTATGGAAGTAATGCATTTCCTGGTTTAGTAGTTAGACAAATCATCTTCTGTTTAAGATGGACTTTACTTAATGTAGCATTGGAGCTGTTTTTTAAATTTTTAATTTGGCTTAGCTGAACACTGCAATATATTGATTTTACAGTATCCAAAGTTACAGGAGCCAGGGTTGACAGTGAAATTTCAAAAAATGTTCTGATAGAGTCATATCTGTAGGCCAATAAATGTCCAATAAATCTACTTGCTAAAGAATAATTTTTAAAAAGCCATTAAAACTCCTTTTTTCAGCTATTTCAGATATACTTCCTTCCAAATCATGAACATAAAAACCCAACAGACTTACCAGATTTCCAACTGAAAGTACGTTATTGAATTCATCAGTCATTGGATAATGTTCCATGGCCATAAAGAGTGTATTTAAAACAATGCAAATTGTAATAGCCAGGTCAACAAACGGGTCCATTACCACTAAGTTGACGATATGTTTTACTTTTAACCAATGTGGACTGCAGTCCCAGATCAAGAAAATATTTGCAAATTTATACCAACATGGTGGGCATTTCTGTCTTGATTCTTCAAGTTCTGTGGGAAAAGAAAGTTCATACAGGTAACTATGTGATTGCTCTAACATTCCTCAATCCTGTACGAAGTGTACCACCCAAGTTGTCAATCTAAACTGGTACTGATTAACCTCCTATAAGCATGCCCCTTATACTTTTTCACAGGGCTTTTCAAGAAAGTTTTTAAAAATTGCTATCAAATGTATTTATTTTGTTCAAAGCTTATCTATCAAGCACAACTTCTTTGTATTCCAATCACTATTCCAATCAGTATCAATTTATGCATTGATTTGTATTATGTTTTTTATTGTTCCTTGATTACACTTCAACCTGTTCCTCCCAATTACTGTTCTATTATGTAAATAATTTTATTTTGAAATTTGTGGTGTTTAGGTAAAAATGTTCAATATAATTTCATTCCTAGTTCAAGAAAAAACATTTTTATCACCTAGAATAACACTTCTTTAAAGACTAACTGAATAAATATAACTGCTAAAAACACGTATATATTTTAACAATGGTTGCATATATTGAAAAATGTTCAGTGGCCTTTTTGTGCCCAGTAATATATTTTTAATTAATATGCATAAGCATTCACTCAGTTATGACCATCAAACATAACTCTGTTGTCCTGATGACCACATTAGGTCGACGGTGGCAAAACAATGAGATAGAAATGCTTACTTATGTAGTAACTTTAATGCTTACTTGTGTAATAGCCTTAATGAATAAAAAGCTTTGATTTTACTGATAAATATGTGTTGGTTTGTGGGATGGTATCTATTAATTAAGATATTTTAAATCAGTTTTTAAGTTTCAACTCAAATTTTCAGAAGTCCATTGAAAAAACAGGTATTAAAAATTAAGCTATGCATAGCACACACCTTCCACAGTGTTTGTGAGGATGCTAGCAATACTCATGGCTCTTTAAAGAGCTTGATATTCTCTTCCTCATTTCTGTTTCTGTAGTGGTGCCCTATAAGAGAACAAGAATAGGTGAGACCATGTTGGAGTAATAAGATAAACAAATACTATATAGAACCCTGTTATTAATGTCTTAGCTCAGACACGTGCTTCGTGCACTTCAGTTTTTATCACGTCAGACTTTTATTACTTCTTAGTATCTTTTAAATAATTTTTAAAAGATAGGCAATAGTTACCTACCGTTCAAGACTGAGAGTTTATTTATTTAACTTATGCATTTTTTTCCTTCAAGCTATGAAAAATAATTTAAACAAATGGAAAAGGATTGAGTTCAAAATATTGTATAAAATTTTGGCAAACTGTGATTTTTTTCCTTGCTCCTGCTGACAGAATATTCTGGGGTTTGTAATATAATAGTCTTTTCCCCTAGGCGAACTGTAGCAAGTAAGAAAAGTCTGACTTCCTCATGCTTCCTCATGCTAGTATTTTTTTAGTAATGTGAGTAGACAACTTTGAACTAAGCAAGAAATTTTTTTGAGGCATCTTCTCTTACCTTGTATATGGTAAGAGAATGGCAGCAATATGTGCTGCACATATGTCCATACAGACATTTGTATTTTTGGAAGTATGTATTGAAATGTGATCTTCCAATGAATTATTTGTTATCTACACTACAGAACTCCACCAGCAACGGATGGAAAATATATAGGAATGAGAAATAAATTACAATAAAAAATTGACAACTTCCTTACATTTTTAATGGGGCTGATAAAGAAGAATGTTATCAAAATTAACTAATAACGCTAATTTTGATAAAGTGGTAATAGCAGTGTCATATTGATTGCAGTTATATGATAACATTTTTGTATACTCTTTTCAGTTGTATAGTAACTACGATTTTGCAGCCCATAGCCAGCCAGACCTTTAGATCAGCAACAGTAAAGTATAGCACAATAATACAGTAAAGCATAGTGCTTTTACGAATGTGTAAGTAAGTTAATATTTTATTATTTGGAAACTGCAAATTGCAGTTGTTAGTTATGAGAATATTTGTAAGTAAATGCTTAGGTTGCAAACCTATCTTAGCTGTTTTATTTATTAAAGATTTTACAAGATGCAGGAGCATTCACAGCTTGACCAACCAGGAAGCATTGCCAAGGGTTCCATTCTGTAGAAAACACTGGCTGGTGCAGTAAGAAAAGGCCACGATGCCTAAGCTATTTAAAACTTTCTTACATTGTCATCAGTAGCTGGTTTATCTATTATCACCTCTGGCAGAAGCTGTCCAACAGGCGATGTAGGAACAGATGGTCCACCAACCAGGGAAACCACCCCATTGCAATCCACAGTGCTGTGCATCTTCCCATTCACTGGAAACACTGCCAGCATCCTGGATGACCTACTGGCCTGACTAATGTTACTGTTGCGCCGTTCACCATGTCTGCGCGGCACAAAGAGAGAATCTCTTCTGCTATCATTGTCTTCAAAAGTGCTGTGCTCATCATCAGCAAAGTCATTTTCTGATCCTATATCCTTTGCTCTACCTCTGAAGCTGAAAAGACTTGTTCTGCTGTTGCGTCTTGGAGAAAACAGGGAGCCTCGAATGCTCAGCAAAGACTGCAGGTAAACAAAATTCGTAATTATTAGCTGAAACCTTCAAACTTAGCATTGTTATTAGGATAGCATAGGGGTTTTTTTCTTATATGAGAGTAACCATTTTTCCCAGAAGCTAAATGCTGCTGTGAAATTTTTTGTATGTACTTCATTATATTTATATTTTACAGATAGAAATACCACTGTTCATGGATTCTTAAGACAAAACCAATTTTGAGCACACCTTTCTCATAATGTCAGTTAGAGTTGCTGAGTAGAGTAGTTACACAATATCCATCAAGCAAAAAAGGGAGTCTATACATGCGCATTCTTTCATGAGTGCAGCATCCTGCACATTTTGAACCAACATCCAAACGTCATTGAAGTAGGAGGAAAATTTGAGGCTGTCATAGTGGAAAAATACTCCAGTATTTTAATAAGTCTAGATAATATATAATCAGTCTAAAAAAACCCCACAGAATCAATCAGAGAATATCTTAATATTATTTTTAAACAATCCTATTACAAGAATAGAGATATGAGGCTACATTTAATTTTCTGGGTTTTTTTACAAGACAATCTAGCAGCTACAGCACTTTCTCTCAAGCACTAGCAACAATAGTTTAATGAAAATCTCAGTGTTTCCTTTCTTTAGGCAGTAGGGTCTTATTACAGTACCAGGAAGACTAAAGTAGTTTTGTAACAGCCTATGATGCTTTAAATGTATGCTTCTACTGAAAATAACTATATGCAATACCTGATGTGGAGAAGAATACTTCTTTTCATATGTCAGTCTGTTGCCTTCAATAGATAATCGGAAACCTTTCCTTCTGATGCTTTCTTCTGATTCAGACTTGTGAAATTCATCTTCATCTTTTTCCTCTCCTCCAGACTGTTCTTTCTGTTTTCTTTTTTTCCTTCTATTTCTCCTCTCTTTTGCACTCTTTGAGCTCAATTTTGATGCCTCTGAGGAACTTTCTGAGACCCCTCCTGCTTCTCCTGCAGCACTGGGCTCCCTGGACTCCGCGGATGCTGTTACTGCTGCTGCTGCCACTGCTGCTGCCTGCCATGTTGCAGAATGAATTTGTGTCACTGAGCACATCACAACATTGTGGGTTTTTTAAATTTACTTATACAGAATTTCTAGTCCAAATGCCCTGGATCTTAACACTTTCCATAGGTTATCCTCTCCCTAGTTTTTTTCTCATTTTTATTACTCAGTTGACTCAAGAAATGTGTTGGTCATAGCCTTCTTCCATCTTTCATGAGTAGTTTTTAAATGCAGAAGTCTAACAGACTGTATTAATGACACTAGACTAAGAAAAACATATTGAATAATGTATACCTAGTTTTGAATATTCCTTCTTGATTATGGCTGGATGGTTCAAAGTACAATGTCTTTAGTGCAGAATAGAAAATCTCTGAGGTAGCTCAATTGTTGAAAGCCCAACAGGGTGTTGTATAACTCCAAATTCAGAAAGCATAAGGTGAATATAACGGTTGGACTTGATGACCTAAAGGTTGGACCTGATGATCTCAGAGGTCTTCTCCAACCTTAATGATTCTATGATTCTAATATCTCTAGTAAAATTACTTCCATACCCTTCTGCATTACTACAGCATAAATTATACCTGAGCTGCTTCTTGTTGCTTCTTCAGTTGTTCCAGCATCTGTTGAAATTCTGCCTCTTTCTGTTCTGCTTCTTCCATGGTCGCTTGATTCTGTTCTTCATAGGCCATGGCAACCACAGCCAAGATCAAGTTGATCAGGTAGAAAGAACCCAGAAAAATCACCAGAACAAAAAATATCATGTATGTTTTCCCAGCAGCACGCAGTGTCTGGAAATAAGAATACATTTATAAGCAAAAATAGATTAACAAAAGTTCTGTTTTTCATATTGTTAAGATTAAGATAACATAAGAAAATTAATTGTAGGCCTCTTGCATTATTGGTACAAACATATTTAGTCTATTTAGCATTAAAAAGTTCTCACCAACTGATAAAGGTTTTCCCAGAAGTCTTGAGTCATCAAGCGAAATAGTGACAAGAAAGCCCAGCTGAAGGTGTCAAAACTTGTGTAGCCATAGTTGGGGTTTCTACCAGCTTTCACGCATGTATATCCTTCTGGACACTGCCTACAAAGACAAACTGGGTGTTACCTTATATAGTTATTTTAGTAATATCACCTGGAATGTCCAGGAGAAGATTTGTTTAGTTAATCAGACTAGAAACAATAGCCGTTCTGATTTTTAATACAAAATTATTTCAAAGGACACTAGAAAAATTAAGCAGGAAAGGCACATAAAAATTAGTGTCAAAAGTTTAATCTAAGCTTCTAAAACATAATATTCCAAATAATTTCTTTAATTATTAATGTTGTAACATTAACATCAATGTCAGTGTTTTCTACTGTCTGAGCCTGTTAGTACTCAGATGTGCAGCTGCAAATGCAGAATAACATGCGTTTTCCAGCTGCTATGTCTGTTACTTCTCATCCAGGCAGGAGCTACACTAATACTAAATTACTGATTCATTCATGCAAAGACTAAGCTCATCTAACTGATCCACTGAGCTCTGACCAGGAACCCAAATCATCAGTCCAGTGTAAAATCCTAGTATTTCTTACGTGAAAGAAAGTGGTCACTCAAAATATAGCCCCCCTCCAACTGCACATCTAAAGAATGTGGATCTAATTTGTACACAGTGCAATAATATGATGAAATTTGGTCTTACCCAGCATCAGAACTATTTCCGCAAAGCAGAGCATCATTTTGCCCTTCCAGAAAATAAAAATGACCTGTTTAGAAAAAAATTTTAAAAAAATTATAAAATTCTGAATATGAAAGCTTTCTTACAGCTCTATGAAATAAATAGTCCCACTCTAAAAGTGTTAAGGTGATTTCAGATGCCATAACTTTAGAGTAGATGACACTATGAATTGCAGTAAGTGCTATCACTCACAGCACTTACTATTAAAACGCCAAAATATACTAAAAATCCTGTCAAATGCTGCTGGATGTAGATGAAAGTACAACTCTCCCTTCAGTCTGATCACTGAACTAAATCACACTTCGTGAAATTACATTGTACAGTTATTTATTATAATAATTAAATTGTATCTGAAAAAAATATACTGATAATTTATTTCAAACTTTCTGATCAGTATTGCCAAGGGTTCCAGTTTCTCATTTACAAACACTAGCGACAGTTAACTAATATGGGAGCTCTGCAAAAAAACACCCAGCTGCCAATGGCTCTAACTGTTACAGGTGCATGCACACTGCAATTAGCCCGCTGATTGGTATGAAGGCCCTGGTATACATCTAAATTTAACTCAGGAAGAATTACTGCAACAGTCACCGACTTGTGTAGGTAGGATTTTAAGAGTATATGATGATATTGATCCCCTTAGGAAAGAGAAATTGGCTAAGTTCCACCAAATCGCCCTGTAGCCAACCATCCCATAATCTGTATAGTAATCCTGTATTTAAAGGACATTTTAGACAGTTTAAACAACAAAGACATTGACCTGTCTATTCTTAGAATAATAAAGAGATGATGTGCAAAATGTTGTGCTTATTAAGATTCAATTTGACCATATCCTTAAGTGCTTTTCTTTTTCCCCTCAAAGCAGATGCCTACAGTTGCTAAGCTCTCGGTTTTGGAAGAATTATGCCAGGAGGAGCTTCCTCCTGTAGTAACCATCTCCCATTTGGTCATAGGCTTAAGGGCACAATTTACACAGGGTCAGACCACGTAGCCCAGGATCCCATTTCTGATGGAGACCAAAACCGTTGCCTCAGGATGTCTGTAAGGACAGGGCAGGGACATGATGACACTTCCCTAAGCACCTCCCCAGCTTCCAATACTTCTGAAGCACAGCAGCATCAGAGTTAAGGTGGTACCTTTTTTGCTTCCTGAGAAGATTTAAACCCCCCATTGGATTTCTTTTCCATTGAACTGGCCTGTTAGATTCCCTTAAAGTGATCTCATTTGAAATGCTACCAGCGCAGCTGAATTTAAACTTGACTGTGGCTATGCCGGCTGTGCTGCCCAAGCTGGCTTACTACAGAAACTAATGAATTCTGAGCCTGAGGAGGTGTCACAAGCTACTGGCTCAGCACATTGATTTGCTGCAGGAGGGACATGGTACCCCCGCCAGCTGCATCTCTCCATCCTGTGAGTGAAATTCACCATTTGGAAAAGTTAGGTTTTAAGCTCTATGTAGACCTTGTTCTGACACTCTGTGAAGGACTCAGTTTCAGTGTCTAATGATATACCTACGTATTACAGGGTAAGTGCACAACCCTGTGTGCGGCTGCTGTCATTCTGGGCTGGTATGCATTGCAGAACTGCACTTTGCTGAAACACAGCGGTAAATAGTAAAGTTAGCTGACATGATGCTGACCACAGCTGACCCCTGTGAGGCAAATCTTATTTTGCATTATGTCAGCTAATCATGATTAAAACATGCTGGAACATAGCAGCTGGTTGGGAAGAATGCAAACCTGACTTGATATAGCTTACATGGAGCAGTCAGTCACGATCAGTACTGCATCAGCTGAGCTGAACCACTAAAATAGGGTCTGTATTCAAGTTCTGTGGTTCAGACAAGATGTGCTCTGTAAGCACGCTGTACTTGCTAGCTCCACAGGCAATAATGGCCACCCAGGCTTTCTCTGAGTGCACTGACACAACCATGACAAATGCTCAAAATATTATCATGATAGGAAAATTTTTATAACAACACAAGCTGAGTGGTGTAAGCGTGTGACCCTAACTAGATGCAAAATTCTGAATTGTATTTTACCAAAGTAATGTGAAAAGCCCCTCACTACATCAAAGGTATATGTTTGGCTCCCCTTTATTTGATTGGGAAATGGGAAAAAATCCCTGGTAGGTGAGCACTTTACTTCAAAGAATTTACAGTTGTTTGGGTAAACCTAGGGTAATGACTGAGAATAATTGTTATTTCACAAAATAGATTGTGAGATGTTATTTCCCAGAAAAATTTGCTTATGGCAAGCTTGCCAAGATAAATTTAAATTTATCTAGTATTAATTTGATCAGATTTGGTATGTTGGAAAAAGAAAAAGGAAAAAAAAAGAGTGCTTGACTCATTAATGCCAGGAGTGCTTACATAAAGTTTCTCTAAATGGTATTTTCAAAAATGAACTCAGTGGCAAAATTAGGGCTTACATGCCTTTTTTGCATAGTATACACAACTGTTGGCATTAAAACTTTTTTAATTCCTACAAAAGACAGTGCCATTGCACGCTCTGAGCTCCAGGTAAGTCCCTTCTTATTGCCCTGTGACACAGCTGGTTTAAAAACCATTTCTGTATTCTGTCTGCCCACCTGGAAGAAGAGAGAAGGAAGCTGTGAGAAGATAATTTTTCTCTTTGAAACTGCTGATAAGCAAGGACAAGCTTATTAATTTCATAAGAAGACTCATAATTTCATTATAAATTTCATAATACATACAAAATCCTGTGTAAATATACCGAAGGGTCAAGTAGCCATTCAATAAAGTATTTTCTGTAACTAATTCAATTCAGCTTTGTTTTTCAAGGGGCTTCAAGTCTTCTTTAAATCAAATAAAATCAGAGCTTGAGTTTATAGATTCTTGGTTAAAAAGACAGAAAATTAAGTTTGACCTTGAAGTTTAGGTCTTCATTAGGAGACTTTGCTTCGACTTTGTATACCCTGTGACATGGGTTCTTCATGAATTCACATGTTCAAGTAAAGTAGGTTTCACAAAAAGATTGCATCTTGATTTAAGAAAATCAGATGGAAATCCATCAGAGTCATTGATCAGCTGTGTGATCACAGTTGGAAGCTGTCTTCTGTTTGAAATTTGTCTGGCTTTGACTTGCAGCTGTTGAACCTTTCACTGCTAGATCAAAGATATGTCTGTGATGAAATTTCTGTTCCCATGAGGTTTTTCTCAACTGTGATCAAATCACCCCTTAAACCTTCCTTTTGATATGCTAAGTAGGTTGAGTGCCTGGTCTATCTTGGTAAAAAGCATGCTTTCCAACCCTTTAATCATTCTGTTCTTTTCTGAACATCCTCCAATTTTTCAACATTCTGTCTAAATTGAACTTTATATAGTATTCCAATAGCAACTGCAGTAGTGCTAAATACAGGGGTAATACTGCCTTCCTGGTCAATAATTTATTTATACGAACAGGATACTATTTAGCTTTTTGGCTGCAGAGTTTTAGCCTTAATTTGTCAGATTCCTGGCTGCTCCACAGTGCCTTAGGTGCCTTAGCCTCTGTATTGTTAAGGGCTTTCCAATCGCATTTCTATGTCCTGCCTCTCAGTTGCAGCTCTGCAACCTTTCACATAAGCTGCTGTGGCAGTGTTTTCCAGAGCCTCTGTTTTTTCCTTTGTTCTTATGCTGTTTTTTATGTTGCTGTTATTCTCATGACATTACACCTGCAAACACATTGTTGCAGCAGGTACTCATGGGAAGCAATTGTCTCTGGTGTGAGATTCACCCCTCTTTTTCCCCCTTTTTCCTACTCCTTGCTTGTAGCTTTTGCTTTATATTAGGTAACCTAATAACTTGCGTGTATGAGCTTAAAAACCAACCAGCCTTGCAGCACCCGCCCTGATCAAAGCGCGTTCCAATTAGCGCTAGTAGCACTGTAAGCAGGAACAACCTGTAGGGAGTTTGAGGAGATGCTAATGAAAAATACATGGTTGCTATGGGAAAAGTATTATGGAGTGATCACTGCTGCACTGGAAAGGATACCCAGGGGAGGAGAGTCACCTGAGGACCCCACCACTTCTCTTCACAGCTGGCTGCTGTGATCAGTTTTCCCTTTCCCCTTCCCTTTTCTTCCTCTCTCTCCCCTTTAGTTCTTATTTTTCTCCAAAAGTAACTGTCACTGTTAGAGATGATGTATGCCATCGACTACAGTCTTTATGCCTGTGAATCTGTCTCAACATGAATTGTACAGCATTGATTTTTAGGATAGGGAGCTTGGGTTTATAACCTCACATTTAACTGTACTGAAATGTATTTCTTTATCTATTCTCAGTTTGCCAGACTGCTCTGTATCAGCAAAACTGGTTGGAAAATCATACTTCAGGAAATTATTAAAATGGAAAGATGCATCAAAACAACTTCTGAAGAGGTTTCTCTGAGATTGCTGCTATTCAAGGTTTTAACTAATCTAGATGATGGAAGAACGCTTATCAAATTTGCAAATGATACTGATCTGATAAGGGTGGTGGTGAGTTTGAGGAAACAATTACAATTTAAAAGATCCAGGACAGTTGGAGAGATGGTCTGAAAAAATAGGGTGCTGTTCAAGCTAGAACAATGAACTGGGAAAATACAAAGTGGGAACTCAATGAGGTAAAAGTCTGTAAAAGGTTCAGGAGGCAGATAGGCCACAAGCTGAACAGGATTTAACGATGTTACAATTGTAAACAACACCAAGTCTGAGCCTAGGATATATAAAACAGAAGTATAAGTTGCTATGCTACCACATAATCCTTCTCTCCTTAGTATGCCTCATGTGGAGGAGAAATGCCTAGATGTGGGTACTGCACTTTAAGAAGGATGTTTACGAACAAGAAAGGATACAGATGAGAGATGAAGATCTAGAAAATAAATTGTAGGAGAAAACGTTTAATGATCTGGGTTGCTTAGCGTACAAAAAGACGACTGAAAGAGGAGACGACAGGGCATGGCAACATAAGAACAGTCTCTAAATACCTCAGAGACAGTGATTAATAACAGGGAATAATTTGGTTTTGACACCTGGGGTGAAGTTGGTAAGAACAATGAGCTTAAATTGCAGCAGGAAATTTTGTTAGACCTTAAAAAAACCCTGTCTAATAATAAGGATAGTGAAACACAGGAATGGGTAGATGGTGAAAATCCTGAGGACTCCATCACTGGAGTCCTCACTGAATGTCAGAAGTCTCTGACATCTGTCAGAAATGACATAGCAGTCTGTTGCTGATCTTGCTTTGGAGTATGGGAATGGAAAATGTTTAAGACTAGTAAGTAATTTTAAGAACTCCTTTGGACCTCTTTCTGTCTCAGGGGAGATGTGGATTTGGCAGAGGGAGCTGAGAAAAAGAGCTGTATCAAGTAGAGAGACCATATTCCTTGTTCCCTCTTCCATGCCTACCTTTGGAGCAGATCTATGAGAGAGAGAAAACACTTCTCCTGCTCCATCTTAACTAAATGTATCATCCTTTCCCCTCCTTATTTGTGGGAACTGGACGCAAATCACTTCAATAATAATTATGCTGACAATACTTACTTTCATCTTCAATGTATCCCTTCCAGTCAAATGGAGCCACTGTTGAATTAACCAATGTACCATTTTCACCTATGGTGCTGTTTAGCTGGGAAGTAATATTTGTTTCCAGAGTAAAATTTTCTGGAGGCCACTGCAGGCATTTATTCCTCAAGTTGCCCATGAACAGCTGCAGCCCTATTAGTGCAAATACACTCAGACAAAACACAGTCAGGATCATAACATCCGAGAGCTTCTTCACAGATTGAATTAGGGCTCCCACGATAGTCTTCAAGCCTGCAAATGCAAAGGAATTTTTATTCTGATGTTCAAAACTTTTTTAAAGCATAGAAATAACAGTGTGTCCCAGTAAAGTTATAGATTTCATGCAGAAGCCCAAATAAATGATTGTAATGTCTGTGAAATAACATTTTTGTGAAGAGCTTTTTCACTTGCGAGAATGAATAAATAGCTGAAATTTATGTTCATTTGAAACTGTGAATGGAATGAGTTGCATATATTTCCAAACACTTGTTTTAATGCTAAAACAAGTGACTTTTTAAATTCATGCTCTACATGAATCTCACATAAAAGTCTTCTTTCTTTTTATTTGTCAATACCTCTTGCCCCAAACCTTTGCTACTATCAGTTTTATAACATACTAGATTTAGAAGACAGTAGTAAAAAGCCTGTTCAACAATAAATAGGATTAGAATTTAATGCTATAAAACTGGAAATGGTTTGGAAAATCGTAGAATTTTAAGATAATAAATCCCCCATGCAATGTCCATGCTATTCTTTATTATCTTATTCCTTCATCTTCTTCTTAAGTCAACATTTCAAACAGTTCTACTTTTTAGACACAAATATTCACAACAGATACCACATAACGTCATGTAGGTAAGATACACATGGGTAGGAAAACTTCAGGGTTACTGATACTCGTTGAATGTGGAGAAGAAAGCTTGACATCATACGATGCAAACCACACACGCTGTGTACTGCAATGTCTCATGCAAGAATCTGTTAAACTCAAAGGCTGATTTCAAAAGGAAAGAGCTCATGTTAAAAAGCAATGAATCAGAGATTTCAGAGAATTCTAATATCTTCCGATTCCTGCTTTTTTGTGGAAAGAAATAAGACTTATGTTTAAAAAATATGAATTCTGTTTCAGTGAATTAAAGTCAGCCTCAGTGTTTAACCTAGCTCTCACCTGGAATGACTGATATTGTTTTCAAAGCTCGGAGAACTCTGAATGTTCTCAACGCTGAGACATTGCCCAGGTCCACAAACTCTGTCACATATCTGTAATAGGGGAGTTCACACACAAACACAATGACAGGATAAAAAGGAACAGTTGGGAGGTACAAGGGGCCTAACACCTTACACCAGTTACTTCTTACCTGGGATTACAGAAATAGTTTTCAAAGCTCTCAATACTCTGAAAGTTCGAAGAGCTGAAACATTGCCTAGGTTTACAAATTCTGTTACATACCTGTAGGATTAAATCACAGTTATTCAGAATTTAGGCAAAGTTTATGCTACTTACTTGGGTCTTTCATCAAGACCGCTTTGGCGTTTTTAGCAAAAAATTAAATAGCAACAGTCAGAGGTTTACCTTTCACTGCAGTTTGCCTTGCATTAATATGCTTTCAGAGCCTTCAGTTACATTAAATGTCTCTGAAGTGAATCGCAGTGATTTAACTTTGAAAGCCTAAAATTTATCTAGACTAGATCGGTAAGTTTGGAGAATGAAGTCAAAGGGATGCTCCTTTTCTGCTCAGAGAAAAAAATGCAGGACATGAAATTAGCCTCTCTAATACTAGCTGTACTAATGGCTTCTGCAGTATTTATGTTTACATCAAAATATGCATATTAGAATGTGAAAATTGTTTTAGACAAAAATAAATCTATAAGAGAATTTCCATTTAACAAAATTGATATGTATCGATACTAATTTCATGCCCTTTTTGCCCTTCACTTTCAAAGAAAAAGCAAAAAACAAAAACTTACGCAAAGGTAATGACGGTGAAATCAAGCCAGTTCCATGGATCTCGAAGAAAAGTAAAATCTTCTAAGCAAAAGCCCCTTGCAATGATTTTTATGAGTGATTCAAACGTGTAAATTCCCGTGAACGTATACCTGGGAAATATAGGAAAATTTAATCAAAATAAGTAACAACATTTTACATTGGTATTCTGATAGAAACCCGATGATCAAATGAAAGAGTTTTTTATTTTGAAAGTGGAAAAGAAATACAGTAAATAAACAATTTATTCTAAAATGCATTATACTCATCATATATACTTGTGTATTTACATGCATTAGTTGTGACATGCTGTTGAAGTACAGTAGTCCTTATCTTGTACATAAATCAAAATAGATAAATCCATCAAGTAAATGACATATATTAAAAATTTATTGGTGACACTCAGTTTAAAAGTATGCAACACTAGATCCATTACTATTAACCAAGAAAGTTGTGAGCGTAAGTTACTGGATACTGTCTAATCACTGACATCTAAACCATCTAGCATTGATGCTAAAAAGGGAAGAATGCAAGCATGCACTGAATTCTCATTTTAGGAATACTTTTGCTTATATGCTGTCCTTAGCTGATGTGTACAAATAGATGGCCATGTTTCTGCTATTAATGCAGTGGTGTAAAGGAGGGGTAGAAACATTGAGTACATGCTAAGCCATGAAGATGAGAGAAAACTAGTGGAATCTCAGTAGAATACTATCTGTAAACAACTTTCATTTTTTCTACCCGATCATTCTACTAGAAGGAGATTTAAATAATTATTCAACGTTTCTACATAGTTTAGAGAGGAAATAGTAGTAGTGTCTCATGGTAGTTCCTGCCAGCACACATGACTGCAGTTACTGGCATGCTGACTCGTAGAGGAACAGTCAAAGATATCTTTAAGTAGCATATGCAACTTACTCTACATTCTTTGTCCAGTCCGGAGGGTTACTCATGGTCATAAATACACAGTTGGTCAAAATAGTGCACATGATAAGCATGCTGAATAATGTAGATATAGTTAAGGAAAACACAACAGTAATTCATACAATATCACATCAGCCATATATCTTAAGTACAGTAAAATAGTGCCCCTTACACAAATCTTTTAGACTTTGGTAACCATTGCACATAAATTTTGATTAACCTGGTAGCTTTCACTTTAGCACATTAAACTTTAATATTAGTCTTGATTTGCTGATGTTCTGATGTTGATTTGCTGATGTCCTCATGTTTTGTTTTCAGCTGATACTGAAAGGTGAAGGAAACAGCTCTCACATGCCTGGGAGGTAACGTGAGATGAGTACAGTCAAAATTGAAATAACTTGCAGAAGAATACTGTTTCACTTAAATACATGACATGACTGAATAAGCATTAGTCTTTCACTTCTACAATTTTGGTATTAACCTCAACAGCTGGCATATGAAGGTAAAAAAAGTTTATCCTGTTTACCATGAGTCAGAGCTGTAGAGAAAGCACACACCACCCCAGCACCCAGCACAGCCAGTCTGTCAAGAACACAGAACAAAACAGAATACTGTTTCTAATTGCTGAAATGATTGTATTCCATGTTTCCCTGTCACTAGCTTAGCATGTCAGTGAAATAGAAATCCACAGAGAGCTCACAGATTAAGGTGAATAATTTTCCAGTATTATTTTTGGGCTCTCTCAAAACATGTTAGCAGAAAAAGAAGCATCTCTTGTTCTACCAATGCTGTAATTTGAAAATGGTTCAATAGTAACTTGTGGTCAATTGCTTGAAACACATGGAAAACTGGTGAAGATTAGAATGAAAAATAATTTTTATATAAAGTTCCAGCAAGGAACAATTAGGTATTCTGGGATTATGAAACACAGACTAACAGCTCAAAGGGGTTTGTGGTAGGGAGGTGGTACTGTCCACTGCAGCTTCATTACACCCAATGCGATGTTCTTGGTTTACAAGATCACTGGCTCTACAAACAGTGTGGTCCTTCCCTTTTCGTGGCAAGCAAGTAAACTCGATTGTTCAAACATTTGGAAATACTGAAGTAACCAAACTAGACCAAAACCTGACTCCAAATGGCCACATGATGGCAGCAAAAAATAAGAACCACTACACCTTCATGCGAAATGGTTAACTCAACTCTAATCTTTCCTCTAGTCGCATCAACATAACTGGCAAAGAAGCTAGCTTAAACTGAGGAAATACGTTTACAGATAAACTTGTATATAAGAGCCCAAGATTTTTAATTTTTTTTTTCTTTAATCAAGTAGATAGCATTTTGGGGGGTATATTTTTATGCCACAGACAAAAAAAAAACAAACCCAAAAAAACAACCCTTCACTCTAGGTGAAGGAGGAATAGAAGAAGTAACATCTCAGCCTAAGCTTGGCAGAAAATTGGTGCAAACATTAAGATCATCGCTTACAGATGCTGAACAATTAAAACTCGAGCATATCTTTTCAAGTAAACATTCAAATCACAGGGAAGGATTTATCTGTCTGATTCCCATAGATGGGTGGGTGACCTTTGTCTAAATGCCTGGCCAAGCAGTGAATATTGTGATGCCTTTCATTAAGTGACTTAACTAATTTTGAAGATCATGTTGTCATACAAGACCTGTACAGTAAAAATCATTGTTCAGTGGCTTAGAAAAAATTATTAGAATGCCTTACAATGCTTGTCTTCACAGTCCACAGACAGCTCTAAAGGGTCTGACTTAATATAATGGGGAAATTCCTTTAAATAAAGAGAATCCATTTTGGGAGTTGAAGAACTTGGAGATGCCTGGCTGCAGCTTCAGTAGTCTCATGAAACAGTTAGAGGAGTGGAATATCCTCTTAGGAGAGCTGAGGTTTTATCCCTATGCAGTGTATTATGTGTTTACAGCTAGGTATCATTCATAACAAAGATCACAGGTGGATCCTTGCACATTGCTCACTCTGTACGTAACTCGCCACATCTGTGGGCTGCATGGCAAAAGTGCTGTTCACTTTCAAAGAGAGCAGATGCTCAATAAGGGCTAACATACTTTGAAATCTACACTCCGGCCATGCTTTCCCTTATGGGAATCTCAAACATAACTGACACATTCAACATCTGTGCCTCTCTTCCTTCTTCTCCCACATTTTGAGTATTTGATTTACAACCTTGACGTTCCCTTAATTTACTATTTTATGTTCTATAATAATTCAGCTATACACATAGGTAAACAATTCTGATACATGATGACTTCTTCATGGAAATGTACTGTCTTTTTCATGCCGTTCCCATATAGGCAAGCAGTAGGGTTAGAGGCACTGTAGAGCCTTAAGCCAATCAATTACTGAAGCAACTGAAGTCTTTTATCGCCTGTGTGGACTTGGTGGAAGATGAAGACTGGAAAAACCACATGTTGCCAATTGGTTTGCCAGATACCTGCTGGCAGTCAGGCCACACTGAGTAACACTGTAATTTCAGCTTCCAAAGGCTAGCACAGGGGTACTTAGCAGGCACCACATTTTCTCTAGAGCATCTCCCTGTTCCTTTCTAACACTCCTTGCACTCTGCAGCTCCAGGCACTGCTACCTCCCTTTTTTGTCTGCTCAATCCCCCCACCTATTCTTACATTTTCATACTATTAATTGCCAAAGTCTGGCCATCTCCCATCACTCTTGTGTTGCCCCATCAGTTCCACACTCTACCTTATCTTGACTCAGGCAGCCAAAAGGGTGGAAAAAAAAGGCAGAATACCAGGAGGTGAGTCAGCAGAGCATGAGAGAGAAATTCATGCTGTTACCAGTTCCTGTATCTAGTATTACAATAGGTCCTGGCAGTGAGGAAGAATAATTGCAGGGCAAGTCTCTGAGCACTGGGAAGAGACACACTCTGTTTCTTTGCAGGGGGAGAAACATCTGACCACGTGCCTGGACACATGTGATCAGAGTGCCCTATGCAGAGGTTCAGAGAATTTGGAGGATGTACAGATGAAGGTTTTCAAGCCAATGTGCTGATTTCATTGTGCTCAACGCGCATCATTCACACTGAAAGTGAAAGGCACAGTTCTGTTACAAAGGCCAAAATGCCAAACACCCACCTCAAAACAGGAGGACAGTAGAGCTTATTGATAAAAGTCAGAAGATTATTAAAAATAATAAGCAACATTATCCCCTAATCTTTTTCCTATAGGTGGCGAACCTTGTATAAGCAGCTGAAATCTAAACTGCATTATGGAACATATTACATGGTTCTTAGTTAAACACACACATATTTGCAGTGTTTGTACTATACTGAATTTAAAAAAAAAAAAAAAAGAAAAAAAAAGAACCTATGCATCTATTCTTACGTTTAAGATAAAAAAATAAAAAAACCCTATGTCTATATCTAAAATAAAAATAGCCCATCCCATAGTTGGCTGGTTGGAAAAGAAATCAGTCCATATAGTGAAAGGAAACCTCTTCCTGTAATAGAGCTAAATTACATGTTCACACAATCAGTTAATAGATAGAAGGAAAAAGATTGGAATTGCATATTGTTTATTAGAATTGCTTTTGTTCTGACTGCCATCAAGACCAGCTGGATACTCTTTGAACACAATTAGGAGGAACTTAAAACCAAAACCAAACTCAGTAATCAGTATGCCAATAAAAAACATTACCCACATCTAACACAGATGCAGGGTTGGAAGGTATTGTAAATCAGTCTATAACTTGAATGGATGAGCATTCATTAGAGGCTTCAATCTGACAGTATTTGGCTGTGTTTTCTCACCATCACCACCACCATGTCTGTAGGTGTCTGTCAGGTCCCTTAGCTACTGTCCCCATATGCTCCCTGACTCCTCTCCAGATGCCTTCCTCCCCTTCTCTCACTGCTTTAACTTCCAGGGAGCTCGGAGGAAAAGGTCATCTCAGTCAGCAGCAATCAGTCTTGTTTCTTCCTTTTTCCAAAGACCTAGAAGATTCTGCCAGCAGTCTCTAATAGTAAGGCTTCTGCCTTTGACTAACTGTTCAATTTTAAAGGTCCTAATGTCACACTGAAGTTTTCATTTGGTGACTACTTTTCCCAGTCTTGGGGTTTTGCAAGAAAAGTGCACCAAAACCTCACCTGCTAGAAATTCCCATCAACCTGTTATGAACATCAGGCGCCAATCCCACATGCCAGTCTAAAACTTTACCTTGTGCACCATCCCATCAGCTATGGTCCCCCAATCTGTCCACCATCTGCATATACAGATGCTTTGCAAACTGCCTGCAGGACTGCTGCCTGTGCTTTCTGGCAATATATTAAATTTGGCAGAGGCTTATGGTGCAACTGGGCAGGTTTGGGAATGTGAGATTCAGTATGCATGAACCAGGCTTCCAGGCACGCTGCTGCAACAGACTATAAAGCTGGTCTTGAAGATGGCCTCAGAAGGAGCCCTAAAAGGCAATATAAATGTACCCTCGAGCTAGCTGTTCCTGAGCAATTGCATATCTGCCTAATTGTTTGCAAAACTGAGAGCTCTTCTGGAATTTGTGAGCACAAACTGCCTTTTTTTTTTTTAAAAAAAAAGATGCAATTATTTTATGAATAGGCTTCATAGCACAAAAAAGAATCTGGGACACAAAAACTTTCAATGTTAAAATAAATCTGAAGAAACTTTTCTGAAAATTGGTCAAGATGGTTTCTTAAATCCATCTGCAGATTTGTACAGCAGAAGTATTGAAATTCAACAGAACAGCTAAAATGCATCTATATGATATATACATATTTTCTAGTATTTATAAAACCTTACCATAAGTCTTCCACTGTAAAATAAAAATAAAATTAACAGCCTACAAAAACCTTTATTTGTAATGAAATAGAAAGAGTTATGAGTTTTCTTAATTTCAGTGTGTAACACTTTGAACCACCATTGAAAAAGGATATGAATGTACCAAAATTTTAATAGCTATTTTTCTAAGAGGATTGAAGGGAGTTAAAATGTACAGGGCAGAGGTGGCACTGAATCGGAAGATTGCCTTCCCTTTATTCAATACTATAAAGGTCTGAAAAAGAAAAAGAAAAGACATTTTATAAGTATGTATTCACTGTGGATGCTAATTTTAAAACTGTTCCTAGTGACCAATCAACAAATTTTTAACTTTTTAAATCCTTAATACACAAAAAACATGACTCAGTTTTTGAAATAAAACTTACTTCCAGTACTTACCTGATGTACTTGACATATGAAAATATAATTTTAAATATAGAACATTCAATTCATTAATGTTTTTATAATACTTCTTCATAAAACAACCTCAGTATTGTACTGGTACATTTACATGATGCGTTTCTTGTAAAAAAAGGTGCAGAAATGATTAACTAAAATTATAATTTTATTTATGTTTTCCCATAGAAAACTCTCTCTTCCTGTTGAAATACCATAAGCAGGGAAACCTTACCTGCGGATGTTAATGATGTGTTAGTAAGAGAAAACCTTATAGAAACTGATTTAATAGACTACCCACCTGTTTGTTTTTTTTTTTTTTTTTGTTCTAGTCTGTTTCTTGGTCTTTGTGCTAAGGAGGGAGGGAAATAGCAGTAACACATATAGCCATGTTTAGGTAGATCTCTGAGGACTGTGGGCATCTGACAGAGAAGAGCAAGAGATACATCCCAGATGACCTCCCTGCACAAATGTGGTTTGCAGGTGTGAAACTTTCCCAGAACATACATACTTGTTAAATTTAAATTTTAACAGCTAAAGAGCCTAGCAAGTTTAGAGAAACTTAAAGGCATGCAAACCTTACTTCAGAGAATTGTAGAAAGCTCTGTAGGCTGAAAGCTTGTCTGTTTTTCTCAAATAAATCTGTAAGCCAAATATAAATGGTATGAGAGCAAACTATACAAACATTGCTTTGCTTCCACCTTAGGCCATCATAGCTGTAACAGCATTGACACTACAGCATGGGAAATGTGGACTGTCAGATTTCTTTGTGGCACTAAGGTGCTCTTCAGCTGCAAGATCAATCCGAAAAACACTGCAGAAGGAAGGCTCAGTAACTCAAAAGAAAGCTGCATGCAGTGGAAGGGATGATGCAAGGATTATAGCCTAAATTCAAACTGAATTAAAGGTATTGAAGAATCTGCCCAAGAGAAATGTCCAAAATTGCTTTTTTTGTTTTGTTTTGTTTTGTCAGAGTTGTCTATTTCGTAAACAAGCTATGATAAAACCTCCTTGGTTTTCGTTACATTGCTGACAAAGTGAGCTGTAAACTAGAAAGCCAGTGGAAGTGTGGGAAAGGGTATGTTGGTCTCTTCTGGCGTCCATGACATCGAGCACCGCTTCAAGACTGTAAGCAAGTGGATTACAAGGCTATTTCTGGGAAGGCTGGCAGACAGAGAAAATATGCCAAGAATGTTCAAGAAGGACGATTCTTCAGTCTTCTTAGATATGGGAAGCTTAGTATGTATGGACCAGGAAGCACAGATACAAATCTCTAGGAGCACCCAGGAGGTGGAGAGAGATGTGGAGATGAGGGTTTCCATCGGTCTGTGACAGATACCAAGTACTGAAGGCAGAAGAGAAGTGGGGATTAAGCCCTGAGGAAAAGCTGTCCCAATCCCAACTCATTGGCTAGCTTCTTCCCTGAGCTGTCTCTCTGTCATAGCTCTGCATGGCACACCTTCCTATACAGACCAAAGCCCTTAAGAGTAAGGGACATAACAGTGAGACTTTATATTGTCTTGAGTACAAACTCAAGATGTGTAGGAATGGTATAAGATACATATTTGATTTTCCTGCTTCTGCACAGAAATGGAGAAACTGCATATGAAACTGAGGACAGTGGGAGAAAGCATGAGCTAATGTTTCCAAATTACACTTCCAGTTATGGATTACAGATAACAACAACCTTCAAAGTGTAACTGCAGGTAACCTGACCTTAAATGAAGATTTTATTTTAAATACTGAAGCAACCAAGCAGATGAATGATTTTTTGGCACAATGTTTTAAAGCCTCACGCCACAAGAGGGAAGGTGAGTTTCCCCTCCCAGGCCTGTCCCCAGCTCCCAGGACTCAGCTCAGAAGCCTCCAGTTCACCCTCTTGGCTTTTGTAGCTATGAGGTAGTTGAAAAAATGTATTAAAAATCACTCCCTACTACCTTTGTATCTAAGTCTACACCACCTATGTTTAGTCAACCTACATTTCTTAAAAAATCTTTGAATACAAGCATATTAAACATACATCTCTTTTCTAACATGCCTTATGGAAAATAACAGCATGCTGGCAGAGCTCCAGTTTCAGTTGGAAGCTGCTGCTATTTTAGCTGTTCTACTTTCTGCTGCCCTGCATAAGCAGAACCAACAAGACATAAATTCCCTACCTCACTTTTAATGTTTCACTCAAACCTCTTTGTGATTGGAGCCTTCAGAATGACTTCGTTGGTCCTCTGACTTCTTGCCTTAAACATGAACTAAAATTATATCTTATCTCTGAAGAAGAATTTTCATAAAAAAATACAGATAACAGCTGATATCCAATCCCTGTGTAAGCTTCCCTCCCTGGTAAGCCTGCTATATCTCACTCCAGTCTCAACCTAGATGCAAGCCAATGTGTAGGCAGTGTGGATGAACATGAAGTATTGTACTCAAAGCTGTCAGGACAAAGACATACACTGAGAAAAGCTAAATAAATTCTAAAAAAATTGTAAGATTAATGTTCATATATGAAGGATTCTGTATACTTTTTAGCGCTTAGGTTTTATAAAGTGCTTTAATCGTTTTATAAAGGCAGGAAACCAAAGTATTTGAGTGTGAATATAAATTCAAAGAAGTCCCTCATTTGCCGCTTTTGTATCTGTAACCTGGATCCCAGTTCTGTAATTTCTGCCATATTTGATATAAACCCAGAAGCTGCATTCTTAGCAGGGCAAAGAAGGAGAAGGAGTTTTTTGAGAAGATGCAGCTAAGAGGGAAGAAGAGTCCACACCAAACAGAGATACATTCTCCGAGAACCAATTGGGACAAAGAGTTCCCAAAACCTTATTTCTCCTCTCCTTCCTCCCAGTTAGCTTTAAACATAGTTTCTGGAAGGCTACATTTAGCAGGCTGACTGCTACTCCATTGCATTTCCACTTCTTACAGTTAAATAAACACCATCTACAACCTCATAGGATCTTCTGAAAGGCAAGAGGTGACATATTGTTGAGCTGGGTCCTTAGCTTCTCGGCAAAAGCCCCAGGGGCAGCTAGAACAAGAGACTCATGGCATATTGGAAGTTGGCATCTCTTGTTTTTGTGGTTATCTTTTGAAACCATGTTTTCTAGCAAGACCTTAATTTTTTGCTTTGCTAGAACGTTTCACTTAAAAATTCTTTAACTTACAACTATCAAAAATGTCTAATATCACTAGTTCATTCACCTTTTCTGATGTAATGAAGTTAAGTAGAGCAATTTTACAGAATTTTTTTGTTTCTGCAACCCAAGACAAGTCTGGAAATCCCAGGAGCTAGTGGTTTGGTCAGATTAGGGACTGATATTACCAAGTGCCAGGACAAAAAGAGGCACCTTTTCTGACAGACACTGTTCAACATCCTTCTGGCAAGAGACAGGGCATGGAGTGGCAACCAACAATGCTGTATCTGTATTACAGCAGGAGGAAAGTGAAGTAAGACCCATTTAGTTCCACTTATTCTTTCCCTCCTCTTTAATGTAACAGCCTAGGTTCAAGAGAAAATAGCCAGCCCTTAAAGTATGAAACCAAGTGGACCAGATTTTGATGCATGCCTGCAGGTCAGGATCTTAGGGGGTTCTAGCTGATCCTTTCTCTATGGACAGTGATGTGAACCTCCTTGATCCTTTGTGATGGCAGCTTGAGCATGAAGAGGCAGTCACTATTATACTGGGAACACACAGATTTGCACTTACACAGAAGTGGAACGCAAAAAATGGGTAAAGTCCAAGTTCATTTTTACTCAATTTTGGATTAAAAAAAAAGAAGCATTGCAACCATTTAGGATGCTAAACTTCACTGTTCTAAAGACCGGCATTATTGACCACCACGGTCAGCAGCATTGTATTATAATAAAATCATAAGAATATAAAAACAGATATTGCATTATATTATAATAAAATAATTATGTTCCAAGGGTACAGTTGCTGGTATTCAGGCTATGTGTGATACAGTGTAAATCAATAATACTATTAGGTCTGTAAATTTGCCATAATGGGCTGTTCTGTTGTCAAACAGTGGTTGTCAATTTTTTCCTTTTCCTTTTCCTTTCAACTTCAGATTAATATTGGGCATGAATATGTCCTCTTTGGGTGTAGCTTTTGCATAGAAGCCTAGTTACAAAACCATAAAACTAGCACACTTCTCTGTTTTTGTTTCTCTTAACAGGTATTCCCCATTTTTAACTTTTCATCTCAGGGCTACGTTATCCACAAGCTAAGGCTCTCGCACCAGCTCAACACATTTATTTATTCCTGTCTTATTCTGTATTAAACTATCAAATCACGGCATGCACAAACTTATGGCTTCAAAAAAAGTCCCAAAGATGAAATGTAAAACACTCTACATGATGTTTCAACATTCAATGCATGCAAAAATACAGTGAACTCATTCAATCTTGCTACAAAAATAGGAAGAAAAGCCTCAGCAACTGGAATGCAATACTTGCATATGAGGCAAATGATGCATGATTTCACTCATGACTCAAATTTGGAATAAAAAAGATATTCCTAAAATTCTTGTACAGATTTTCTGAATAAACACTGTGAACACATTCATTAGTATCGTTTGATCAGTGCTGTAAGTAACCATTTCTATTCCTTATTTGAAAGTTTGTAAGCCAAACTGATATAGTTTCTGTCGATAAATCAGGTATGCAGCAATCTTAATAGAGGTGTGAAGCAACAGTGGCATCTGTTAATCCATAGACTTGTCCTAACCCTTTCTTGCAAAAAAGTATTTTCCTTCATTCTAGTGTTTTTCATTAGATCCGTATCATTTCAGATAGATGCTTCCCCAGGCAGAAATATAAAATCTCTAGCCATCGTGCAGCAGTTGTCAGAATGTCAGACATTGGGATAGGGTGTGCTGATTGACTCCTTGGCTTTACAAGGTGGAATTCAGAGAGGGATAAAGAGAAAGCCAAAATGTTAAATGGTACAGAGGTAAATCCATTGAGCATTAAGAGTCCTTCACGTCTTCCTGGAGATGTTCACTTCTGCTTCAGGCTTTTCTCAAACTGTTTCTCCTTCTGACACTTGCAGGAGCATCAACTGCTACCAATACTCTCAAAAGACAAGTGAAACAAGATAGAAGTCTATCCAGAATTCACATACAGCTAGATAAGAAAATCTAGGAATTAGATATTTTAAAGTCAAATTACTGATGTAAAATTGAAATAGATGTTGGATTTCTGTTAGGAAAGTCTATTTTCACCCTACTGAAGGAAGAAAAAATGGAGAGAACTGTAGTGGATGAGAAATTTTTCTTGTCTTTGACTGACAGGGCTGTTTCTATTCCTGTCCTGTAGAAACATAGAATTGTCTAGGTTGGAAAAGACCTTCAAGATCATCAAGTCCAACCATTAACCTAGCACTGCCAAGTCCACCACTAAACCATGTCCTCAAGCACCACATCTACACATCTTTTAAATACCTCCAGGCATGGGAACTCAATCACCTCCCTGGACAGTCTGTTCCAGTGCCTGACTACCCTTTCAGTGAAGAAATTTTTCCTAATATCCAACCTAAACCTCCCCTGGAGCAACTTAAGGCCATTTCCTCTCATCCTGTCACTTGTTATTTGGCAGAAGAGACCGACCCCCACCTCGCTACAACCTCCTTTCAGGTAGTTATAGAGAGCAATAAGGTCTCCCCTCAGCCTCCTCTTCTCCAGGCTAAACAACCCCAGTTCCCTCAGCTGCTCCTCATAAGACTTGTGCTCTAGACCTGGCCACACTATTCCTGATACAAGCAAGGATGCCATTGGCCTTCTTGGCCACCTGGGCACACCGCTGGCTCATATTCAGCCAGCTGCTGACCAACACCACCAGGTCCTTTTCCTCTGGGCAGCTCTCCAGCTTCCCCAAGCCTGTAGCATTGCATGGGGTTGTTGTGACCCAAGTGCAGGACCAGGCACTTGGCCTTCTTGAACCTCATACAACTGGCCTTGGACCATCGATCCAGCCTGTCCAAGTCCCTCTGTAGGGCCTTCCTACCCTCCAGCAGATCAACACTTCCACCCAACTTGGTGTCATCAGCAAACTTACTGAGGGTGCATTCGATCCCCTCGCCCAGATCATTGATAAAGATATTAAACAGAACTGGACCCAATACTGAGCCCTGAGGAACACCACTTGTGAGTGGCCACCAACGAGATTTAACGCCATTCACCACAACTCTTTGGGCCTTGCCATCCAGCCAGTTTTTTTACCCAGCGAAGCTTATGCCCATCCAAGCCATGAGCAGCCAGTTTCTCCAGGAGAATGCTGTGGGAAACAGTGCCAAAGGCTTTACTGAAGTCCAGGTAGACAACATCCACAGCCTTTCCTTCATCCACTAAGAGGAGATCAGGTTAGGAAAGCAGGACCTGCCTTTCGTAAACCCATGTTGACTGGGCCTGATCCCCTGGTTGTCCCACACATGCCGTGTGATGGCACTCAGGATGATCTGCTCCATAACCTTCCCTGGCACCGAGGTCAGGCTGACAGGTCTGTAGTTTCCCAGATCCTCCTTCTGGCCCTTCTTGTAGATGGGTGTCACATTCGCTAAGAAGATTAAAGCACGTGCATAGAGAGGATGTGTGGACTTCAGCACAAAGAAGAGAATCCCAGCGGATATGTGACTCACCTGTAGAAGTTATTTAGTGTGCAAATAAAAAGATTCTTCCTTTCAAATACTACAGAAACTTCATTGAATAGTTCAGCTGGTTTTTTCTTGCAACTCTATCATCAGACCTGGCTGATGTAGTAAGTTTTCAGCTCCACCTGTGAAGGGACTGAAAGGATCTTCCATTTCTAAGGACCCTAGAAGCGTACCTGTGGGTCATACCTAGCATGTATCTGTTTTCATTGTAAGACACACAAGATCAACTGATTTGACTACAAAGGTCCAGGATGAGCTGTGGGCAGGTAGGGATATAATTACATGTGATTTTGTGTGATAAACAGACACAATTAGTACAGAACTCTACAAGGCCTGCTTTTATAGAAATGCATCTTTTATCTTTGTAAAAGTAGAACTGTGATTTAAAGATAAATCTTCATACACTGTGAATGGCAGATAAAGGCTCTTTCAGAGGCATCAAATAATAAAGCCAAAAATATTGTTCTTTCACATAGTATTTTCTCTCTTGTCAAAATAGGACTCATAAATCACATGATTTGCACTTTGTGCAAATCAAAATAACTCCTGTCTTGATATTTATAGAGTTTTCATAATCACAGTATCTAATAATTAAAGTATCACCCAAGCTAGCTATAAACCGTGAACCTTTTCTGCTTTGTATGGGTTGTGAACAGAATCATCCTGAAAGTATTGCAGAGCTGTTCAAGGCCAGTTCCACCATAAAATTTAAAATCAGTTTTACACTCTCTTTATGATATTTTCTTCTTATCCATGTGTTCCTCTATTGATTCCATAAATTTCCTAAGAATTTGCTATCAAAGCAGATTTCTGGGAACAAAATGTGCTATGCATTGGTTCATGCTGTCAGTTTTAAACCTGAAGAACCTTTGAAAAAGCGTGGTGTGGTGGTGTACTCAGATTCAATGTATCTTCACTTTTTTAAAGTTTGCAAAGTATGTAATCTATTATGTATACACACATTTGTATAGGGATTATATATTGCTTATAATCAAAGATAACATACTATGTTTCAGCTTTGATATAAATGTTTCTTTGATATAAATTCAATAAATTCAATCAAAGGAATAAATTTTGATGTAAGTTAAAAGAAAAGGATGAAAGGTTAGTAACCACTAAGGATGATGGATTCTGTCCTGTACCGTAGAGGACAGTGGGCACTTTGCTAATGATTTAGAGAGCAGTAAATAGAAGCCAAGATTTTCACACTATTTATACCCTGCTACATCCATTGTACAACCATATTATACAACCAGTCATAATGTTACATTTATTGCCAATTTGATTAATTTAATGTTAAAAATAATATTACTGCAAAATTCCTCCATATGTAAAGCAGGAGGACCAGTGTGCCAATTGCACACAAGGGTAAATGTGTTCTAAAAAAAACATTAGCTAAATTAACTTTTTATAACTAGAAGATACTAAATATTTATTTATTAACTTTCTGGAAGGTAGAATGTGTATGTATCACTGGCATCAAATGTTTTCTGCTCTTGTTGTATACCTAGACCTTTTAGCAGTGCTCAACCATTTTCACGTTATTAGAATGACATTTTCCTACTCAGTTGCCAATTAACAGACTGAAGTAACAAGCTATATTACCCACTGGACGGAAGTGAAACGAACATGATAAAGCACGCCAAATGCTGGCATATGAACAGGATTGATATTAGACTCACTTTTTTATTGATGTAATATGGGTCCATGTCTTCCAAGGGCTCAGACACCATTCCTGGAGGTATGTCGCCGTATATAAATGGAAGAGTTTTTCCTGCCTCCAAATCACTGTTTGGCTTTGGCCCATTTTCATCATCATCTTTACGATCTTGTTTAGAATTCTTAGCTTTTTCTGCAGCAATGCGTTGTTCAATAGCTGCGAGAGACTCTCTAGTGAAGTATTGGAAGCTGTCTGGTCCTGGTGGTACAAGCACTGACTGCTCCATCTTTTCATCCTGCACATTTTAATTACCATTTATTCTTCTGCATAGGAAAATACTAAAAGAAAGCAGAAAATAAAATTCAAACAAACGTTAAAATCATCAAGTAAGAAAGATACAACGTTTATTTTTAAATCCTTTTTTTTTATGCTATGTTGGGATGTTCAAATACAAATATTGAAAAATATGTAAAATAAAGTAAGAAGTTTAGCTGGTGATTTGACCTTTGTAAGAGGCACTTGCATGGTTCTTATGCTAGTTATATAAACTGCAATAATTTCTCAACTCTAGGACTATAATGGTGTTTTACTCCAAATAAGCAAAAGCATGATACTTAAGAACAATCAGATACATTCTTTCCTTATAACTCTAATTATCTTAAAATCACCTCACATTCCTCTGGAATCAGTCAGGATTATATTGGTAACTATAAAGAGCACAGTTCATCAGACCTAATGCAGAAATTTCCACTGAGTTCAGCAAGAGTATCAGAAAACAAGCACTGTAGAATCAGAATTTCTATTAAACAAATAAAAATCAACTCTGCATGTTATGAGGTAGTAAAGTTGTGATTCCAAGTAAGTTTTTGTATAGGTAGTTATTCTAGAAAATAAGAAGAACAACTGCTTATTTTTATTTCAATTTAACTGTTACTATATATCTGGCTCTTTATTCAATAGCTGTAACTGGATAATTTTGGAAGTCTTCTAATAACATATTTAAGTATATATTGCAACTGAGAAAATAAACCCGACAAAAATAATAAAAAAAAAAAGAATGCCTGTTAAAACTATGGATCTGGCATCTTCTATGCCGCTGAATAATTTTCTGATGACATGAGACATACAGATGAAATGTGTATTTGCGCACACAATGGCACATATATCCTTCATGCCTAAATGTAAAGAGATATTTGCAGTCTCCACCCATTGCTGGGGTCTTTGGAAATGATCAGTCAGCCTTTCAGGAGATTTAAGGGTCAATGCCGGTCAGTACTCAATGAAATAAGCTAGAGATATGGAATTACAGAGAAGTAAGAATACAAGAGATGGCTGGGAGGAATCATATTAAAACAAATGAAAAGGTGACAAACAAAACCAGGAATTATGGAAAGAAGCTGAAAAAGATAAGGAAAATAGAGCAAAAAATGGAAACAAGAGGAGACCATAAATGAATGTAGAAAGAATTAGGGGAGAAAGTGAAGAATGTGAAAAGAAAAAAATAGAAAGACTGGAAGATTAGCAGTATAAAAATGCAGAGATGAAAACAAAGAAAAATAGAAAAGTAGGTGGAAGAACAGAATACTGGGAAAGGAGTAGGAAGGGAAGCAAACATAGATAGGGTTAAACTTTCTATTAAGGAAAAGTCAATAAGGAGAATAAGAAATTAGATAAGAAATAAAGGGAGAAGAAAGAAAAACATAGCTGGGAAATGAAAGAGAAGGTCACTAAAATATATTAAGTAATAAACCCCAAATCCTCTAGATCATTAATGCCAGGATGAGCACAAACATCTTAATCACACATACGTATTGAGTAGCGGTATATAGTGGATAAAATAAGAAAGAGGGGTCAAAGTGCTTATGGGGTCTATAACCCCAATTTTCTTGATTTCTCAGAAAAATTAAAAAAAACATATTTCACCTGGATGTATAGAATCATCACCCACAATCAGAGGGATGACTTCTAAAGAATTGAGGTGGCAGATTTGTCACTGTAAAGAATTAAAGGGAGCTAATCTCCTACCTAACAAAACACAAAGTATTGATCCATGCAGAGTGTAGACTCATGCCAAAAACAGTTCTCTAAAGCTTTCCCTTCTTCCTAATCCTGAAAGGAATCGGAATCATCCTGTTCTCTCTCCATTAGGGGGCAAAAGGATATAAGAACGTACCTCAACCAACAAGGATTTTAAATCTCTTCCTCTACATCGAGATCACCCTCCAGACATTCCCCAGCTCCCTGTTTTGTGGTTCTGTTTACCTCTGGGAACTGACTCTTCAGTCTCTTAACTACTGAACACTTATAAAATCAGTTTGTACACTCTGACATTATTTCTTAATGTTCAATCACACCTTGTGAATCCCTTGTGATTCCTTCTTGGGAAAGAAGAAAAAAAAAATACTAGCCACAACACTGTCCTTGCTGATTCCCAAACTGATCCCCATAAGTGGCAACATAATTTGGGAAAGAGATCTCATACTAAGCCACTATTCAAATATTATGGGAGCCAGAGCTCTAGGTAGATACTACTTGCGCTGTGGGCTTCAGGGAGATGCAGAGACTCAAGAGAGAGAGGTGGGCTCTCTTCTCTGCTCAGCTTATTTGACAAAGGAAGGGATGAAGGCCTCTTCTCTTCTCTCTTCTCTCAGCATAGGTATAATCCCCATGGGCACTAGCAAATGAGGCTACACAGCCATGTCTCTGAGACCCAGGAGGCCGGTTTTTCTCTTTGCCGTTTTTCCTTTGAAAATTCTCTTCATTCTCCAAAAGCCCCACTGTACACAGCACTTGGTGTTCCCTGCCGTGGTGGCCAGCGAGGGCACAGCAAGCCAAACAAGTCGTGGTGCAGTGGGGGGGGAGGTGCTGGACAGTAGCAAGGACAATCTCATGTTTTGAAGAGGAAGGAAATGGACAGCCAGCAAGCAGTCAGCAAAGATGAGCTCTGAAACCCTGTGGTGCTCTGTCAGGATCATCTTTTAGCTCAGCTGAGTGTCCTGAACTGGCACTCAGAACAAGGAGGTAAGCCTGCAGGATTTGCATGCAGGTGCACAGAAACAAGCTACTTCATAGCCATTAGTTACGTTGCAAAAACATTTGATTCAGCTACTGTGTTTACATACTGAGTTTAAAAGCAGCAAATGCTGTGGGATTTTCTAATACCACCTGTATTTTTTCTGTGGAAAGGAACATTACATTATTTTTCTATAATTAATCCTAGAATGTTCTCATGTCTGTCAAATGTACACGGAGCTAGCCAGATATACACCTTTAGATGTATCTAAACATATGTAGGCTGTACCTAACAAAATGTTTCAGGAGAATTTATGAAGATTAAATACTTTTTATCCTCTACTTAACAGATTAGAGGATGATATTCCAGATACATTTTCCTCTTCCTCATGCATTTCCATGATTATAAGTCTTCAGAATTGCAAATAGAAGTCTTCTACAAATTTAAAAGTCAATATTAAATACATACAGAGTTCAATACACTCTTAATCCCAAAACACTTTCATCTGTCATATCACGGTGGTTAACTGAAAGGTTTGTATTTCCTTTATTATAGTCGGTGAATTTATTCTCACTTATCTGTGTAGGGGATGGATAACAATTGATACCAGGCCAGTTAATCAACTGATATCCTGATTTTATCAAGTGATTTATTAAATATTAATTGAATAACTACAGATTGTTTACACGATGCAAATGGACTTTTTTTTTTCTTTAGCATAGCACTGGTAATTCAACAGAGGAAAGAATATAAGAATACACAAAATGTGTTTTGTGTAGCAGTTCTTTCCTACTCTCCTGGAGTGAATGAGATTTTTTTCCCTTCTTCAACTCCAATTGTGTTTGAGTGACTTTCTTATGAGCAGTGTATCAGTAGGCAAAACATTTCAAATTTTGGAGAATAAGGTACTCGGAACATTTGAGAAGAGAATCATTCTGTTTCTTCTGAAATTTCCCAGGCAAAATATATTCATATATACTTTGTAGTATACATTGTTGTAAGCCAGATAATTCCAGAGCACACTCAATATACTCTGTGTGCATGGACCATCCGTAAACCACATGCAGAATAAGTCTGAAGCTATTCAGCTGCATCTGTGTAATTGCACAATGCATAGTTGATCTTCTCATGCATATTAAGTCTGAAGCATCCAGAACTATGCTGGATTAGCTATGCATGCACTGACCATCTGGGCAATACACATGCATTTGGTTCGGCACTTCCCTGACGGATGTGATCTACTGTACACCTTGCGTAGTTGTAGATCTACACATACTTAGAGAAAAACTCAGGCTGTCAAATACCCACAGAGTTTCTGCAAATTTCTAGAGTCTTCAAATTTCACCTAAATAAATTTTCTAGGCAAAATAAAGGGACATGTTGGCAAATAGATGGAGAGATGGTGCCTTGTCTAGCAGTGATTCCAAACCAGTTGCACACTAGCCTTTGAAGAAGTCAATTAGATGATACATAACTCTCTGAAAAAAAGACAGGTTTGAACAAGAAGATTATTTCCTAACCTGATAAGCATCTGGTTTACTGTTAGCTTTCATATTCTTCATGCTTTCATAACAACTAGTGACAAGGTTTTCTGGAGAGTTTGGTCAGGAGGACCTTAGCATGCATGTAGAACTACAGTACTGCAAATACCTAAACTTTAGCAAGCTAATTTCTTTATATTATCCATACGCTTAAATCTAAAACTGTAACATGCTTTAAAGTTTGATCTTCTGTGACAACACCCATGAATTAAAATTAACTTCCATTTGCCACAGAATATAATGAATGTTGAGATGTTGACGTTCCAATGGACCCTATGTGTTAGAAATTTGATTGTAACAGACCAGTTCCAACAATGTTTGTGGTACAACAGGTCTGGTTCAGCTTTATACTTTCACCTGCATAAACACCTATATAAAGCCTTCCATGATCACCTTTATATCCGAATGCTGAAATCAAACCTGATCTCTAAAAAACAATCTTTTTCCTGCCTCTCCCTCTTGCCTTTTCCTGCCCTCCCTCCTTCAGGTGCTAAGAGTCTCAGCAATATAACTTTTAATATTAGCCAGCATTTAATTTTACTCAATTAGCATAGCAATATGATTAACATAAAAAAGCTATAGCTTCTCAGATTTACCATATAGCAATGTGTCATGTTTTCTAGAACATACTACATAGATGTTCAGTTTCTTCTATGGTTAACACCGCAGGTGCTAAGTGATGTGAACATGTGTTTCTAATGTACAGACACAATGAATAGGCCAGAATGGTAT